ATTAATGATAATGGTATTTATAAAGGTGCCCTGGGTCCTTTAGTCTTCCAAGGGGGGTGGTCTCCACTTCTAGGGTGGAACCAAGAGCCTCGGGGTAGGGGACTGACAAAGCCCATGGTCCTTCTTGTATGGGTAGAGGGCGGCTGCCCTTCCCTACAGTTAATATTATACACCTACCTCCAGTGTGCACATGGGGTTAGCACGGTGCCGAGGGCTGCAATGACCCCAGTGACAAGGTGGAGACCTCAGCCCTCACATCTACAGCTCTGGTCTTGGTGCCTGCTGAGCATGATCTTGCACCCCAAACCTCAAGTTCATTTCAGAAGGTAATTCAGGTGGGGTTCCCTCCATCCCCATCTAAGCCTTCCTCACTGGTTTGCAGGGCTCTCAGCAGTAGCTCTCAGTCTTTTTGCACTAGGGTGGGCAGAGGTGGTATGTGCCCATCGGATAAATGCTTCTCCAGTACGCAGCTGAGTGTCCACGACTCCTTGTATAAATTACCCACCTCTCGATTTTCCTTTTTTGGGGAGCAGAGACAGGAGTAGGGCAGGAATTTGAAACTGTCACTTTCTTGTGAACTGGTAACACACTTTAGCCATAGGCAGCTGTGATGTCTGCTGTTTGGGACATATATGCTAGTGGGGTTTTCCCAAAGAAAGGTATTCAGCTCTAGAGCAGGCTTGACTCTGGCCAAACCCTGAGCCACTGTGAATTTGCTGGTGTTCTTCCAATTTACTGGAGTGATTTTAAGGTTTTCAAATCTTATATGGCTCTTTTTTTTTTAATCTCTAGCTGATAGATTACATGTAGATAGGTGTATATACAGCTAAATTTGAGCAGTTTTATTACTGAGACTAGCCTGCCTAGGCAGCGGTCTTTGAAGTTCCCTCCATGCTTTGGAACTGGCGATGCCTGGCCCACTCCTGAGAGCTCTAGTTTTCCATTCCAGTTTGCTCCAGCATTGCAGGGACTCTAAGATGGAGGCCAGGTCGCCCAGGTTAGTCCAGTGTACTTTCTCCCAGGAAATATTGTGTACAGACTGGCATGGCCTCACCCTCCTAGGTGTGTCTCACCATAGGAGATTGCTGTGATCCGGAGAGTTGAGTATATGCTAATTTAAAATGCACATTATTTTGAGTTTGATTTCTACAGAGTTGAAATGTTCAGAGATTTAAAAAAAAAAACTAAATAAAGTGTCTTCCATTGTTAAAGTGTTGATGGTGTTATAGCCCCCTTTTGTGGCTTCCCTCATTTGCAGCACATTGGCCTCTAAGCCATTGTCCATTCAAGTGATAGGACTCAGAAACTGGTCATCTGGGGGAGATGGGAACCAGGCTCGGGGGTCAAGGTGCCCATTTCCCCAAAGTGGGTTGTCCTCTGGGAGTAATAATTGTTGGTGGCTGCAGACATTATTAAGATTCCTCCCTCCAGATTTCTCTAATTAAAGGCATGCTCTACCACACCCGGTCAATGATTCCTTCTTTCTTTTTCTTTTTTTGGTTTTTTGAGACAGGGCTTCTCTGTAGCTTTGGAGCCTGTCCTAGAACTAACTCTGGTAGACCAGGCTGGCTTCAAACTCACTCCGCCTGCCTCTGCCTCCCATTAAAGGCGTGCACCACCACCACCCAGCTTCCTTTTTTAACTTTAAAAAGAAAAAAAAAAGTTAACAATGGTTAAGAATACTGGCTGCTTGTTCAATTCTCAACACCCTCTTCGGGCCTCTGGTGCAGGCGCCAAGTATGCACATGGCATACATACATATGTGCAGGCAAAACACCCATACACAAAATTGTAAAAATTGTTTCATGTGTGTTTTTGTTTCCATCAGGCTCAAGTCCGTCACATTTTGGGGTGTGTGGTGGGGGTGGGAGTATTGAAGTTAGGGCCTATGGTATGTTAGACAACTAGTCTGTGCCAGCCCAGGCTGCCCTGCAGGGCCTTTTCTGTTGTGTGAGAGAGGTACGTATGCATGTGCATACCCTTGGTGTGATAGTTCTCCACCTTCATTGAGGTGGGGTATCGGTTAAACCCAGAGCCCATGGATATAGTGAGTCTCACAGAAGCTGGTTTGACAGGCTTACCAGTATCTGAGCTTTACTTAGTCCAATCCTGCTGTCACATGTTCTAAACTCTTGATTTCCCAAAAACTGGTTGCCTCCCTGATTCCTTCCTATAGGCATGCATTGTTCCCAGGTGCCACTGTGGGCTGAGGACAAGCCCTTACAGTGGGCCAGCTTAGCGCATAAGTGAAGCGTAGCCTGGTTCTGACACTCCAGTCTTCACTGGCAACATTTCAGGGTCTGTGTGGACAGGTGGAGGAGGGTGATGTGGGATAGCAGGTCATGCAGGGGTCCAGTTTTAATTTATGCATGTAAGGCTTGCTTGTTTCTAAAAGAATTTTTTTAAAATCTATTTATTTTGAGACAGGATTTCTCTGTGTAGCCTGGCTGTCCTGGAACCTGCTCAGTAGACCAGCTGGCCTTGAACTCAAAAAGATCCACCTCCCTCTGCTTCCTGAGTGCTGGGATCAAAGGTGTGCACCACCACTGCCTGACTTAAAATCTTACTTATTTTTTCTGAATAGTGTTCTGCCTACATGCCAGAAGAGCACACCAGATCTCACTGTAGATGGTTGTGAGCCATGTGGTTGCTGAGAATTGATTTTGTTTTGTTTTGTTTGTTTTTCAAGACAGGGTTTCTCTGTAGCTTTGGAGCCTGTCCTAGAACTAGCTCTTGTAGACCAGGCTGGCCTAGAACTCACAGAGATCCACCTACCTCTGCCTCCCGAGTGCTGGGATTAAAGGCATGCGCCACCACTGCCCGGCGGTTGCTGAGAATTGAACGCAGGACCTAATAACCTCTGAGCTATCTCTCCAGCCACCTCCCCCCACCAAATTTTTGAGTTTTTTATATGTATGGGTATTTTGTCTGTCTGTATGTTTGTGTATTATATGTATGCAGTGCCCACTGAGGCCACTATTCCCTACTTAGCTGTCATTTCACTCAATGCTAACATGTGGGCGCTCCAGTTCTGTTAGCGACTGGATCACTGCTGTCTCCTAGAGAAGGACCCCCTGTGGTGGTGTGAGTCTAGACGTGAAAAACCACGCCAAACTGAAGGAACACAAACCACATAAACATTTTCTGGTTTTTGCAAGAATGTCTCTCTAATCATTGTTAACTGGTGTTCATGGAGCCCAGGCTGGTCTCAAACTTGAAGCAATCCTCCTGCCTCAGCCTCCCAAATCCTGGAATTTTAAGTACGTACCACCATACCGTAGCTGCATATGAAACAGACTGTTCTGGGGAGATGGCTCATTTAGTTAAATGTTTGCCTCAATTATGAAAACCCGATTTGTTCCCCAAAATGCACATTAAAATGCCAGATGTGGGACTAGAGGTATCTTGGTGGAGATTGCTTGCTACTCTTGGAGAACAGGAGTTTGGTTCCTAGCCTCACCGTAGGTGGCTCATAACTACCTGTAATTCCAGCTCATAGTGGCACAGGCCTTTAAGCCCAGCACTCAGGAGACAGGTGGATCTCTGAATTTGAGGCCAGATAGAGATACACAGAAATTCTGCCTCAGAACACAAACCAAAAAAATGCGCTGCCATCCTCATGAAACCTCCCTTCTGGGCTTCAGAATGGCTGCCACAAGTCCAAATTTTACACCTGCATATAAGGGGAGGAACCACGAGTAGCTCCTCAGGGTGCTGCTCTCTCTTGCTGGGTCTGAGGCCTTCCTCAATAAATAAAGGGACTGACAGGAGTGCTGGCCTGGGACTGGGCCTAGCTTTTCAGAGACGATTCCCCATCCATCAAAGCCGAAGGCCCAGAGACACCACGGAGAACTCAAGTGTAGTTTGTAGTATGTGTGTCTTTTCTGCTTTGCCTTTTTTTTTTTCCTTTGACTATTTTTGTCTAATCAAGGATGGCTCAAAATTGAGGCCATCTTTCTGTCTTGGCCTCTTTAGTGTTGTGATATGGTTATATACCACTATGTCTGGCAGCATAGTGTGTAGCCCTGGTTGGCCTGGAACTTGCTCTGTAGGCCAAGATGGCTTCCAGCTCAGATTTCCGTCTCTGCCTCCCAAGTGCTGGGATTGAAGGCGTGCACCACCATACCCCATACAGCATGTTTGTAGCGTGCACTAAATGTGCATACTCTTCCTCAGACTGAGTTCCTTCATGGGATGGTTCAGGGGCTCTGGGACCCTTTTCTCCACTGCTTCTGCTCTCAGAGGAAGTTATTTCTTCCTACTTCTCACCTCTACCTTGAGGGATTTCTCTGGAGTTGCCCAGGCTATCTTTCAGTGGAACTGAGCCCTCTCCTTCAGGCTGGCACTACTTAGAGAAACATCTTCAAGGCCAGGGCATCCTGAGAATTTGGTCTGTTGTTCACCTGTGTGTTCCCTGATTTAAGCTAATTAAGTTACTGCACTGGGAGATGTCATACTAGGGCAGCTTTCCCTGACAGGGCCCAGGCTACAGAGAGGGGCCCTCGTGTCTTGCACCCTTGGTGCATCGTCAGCCTGCAGCTGGCGCCAGGTAGATATGGGTGCCACTTCAGTCTCTCAGCTGCTGGTGGGGGTGGGGGAATCTCAGAGCTAGAAACCAGGAAATTGGTTTTTGTCCTATGTGTGCATGCACAGGACCTTACATAAGGCCTCTCTTCGTGAGCTGAGGACCAGATAGGCTCTGGCTTCTCAGTCATGTAGATTTAATGGAGAAGTTTTCCATTTTTCTGCAGGTAGACAGCTGTAAAATCAATGGGCAACCAAGGAGCAGCAGGCCCTGAGAGGCCTGGCACTCTGGGAGGAAGCCATGGTTGATAGCATTCTGCCTCGCATGTGGCTCACTGAGGACCAGAGATGTACTCCTAAACATTGCACTTCTTGGAACATGCCTCATGCTGTCCTGGAGAGCTGTGGGGACCCAAAGCCACATCCAGGAGTGTGCAAACCCAGTTTTTGCAAAGTCACTGACACAACTGAGCAGCTCTGGTTCCACAGCCTTTTATTTCTTATTCAGAGAGGTGGTGAGGAGAGGCAGGCAGGCGAGGGGACTCCAGCAGAGTGACACAATCCGCACTGCTCAGGCCCAGGCCCCTTCCAGAAAGGGGCCCTCGGGTCCCAGGGACTTTACACACATGGCTCCCAGCTGCCTCCCCAAACCACAGCAGAAACGGTGCTCTTCCAAAGCCTTCCACTGTCAGAGAAGAAAGGAACCCAGGCTTGTGAAGAGAGCCTTTAGCCTCTCTCTGGTGAAGTAGGGGACTCCACCAGTCCCCACCCAGTACCATGGCTGGAGATCAGGGCCACAGCTACCAAGAGTGGCCTGTCCCACCATGACTGCACATGATCGTGCCTCAGTGAGGGGGGCCATAGCACCTCCCTCGTCTGAAATTGAGTGGACAGGTGGGAAGGCTAGGTGGAGAAGCAGGGGCACCACAAGCCCTCCCTCCCTCCTACCATTCAGTTTTAGGTAACACAGCCTGGCTCTGGGACCCTGAGAGAACCCGGTGACTTGCCGCTGTCACCGCTTGGACCTGGTTTCCTGGGCACCAGCCAGCAGAGAAATCAAGCTGCTATTTCTGAGAGAATGGGAAGGGCTCCTGTCTCCATGTGGCATCTTAGAAGTCTCATGGGTGGCAGACAGGTACTGAATTCCTCCTCACATGGGAGCCAGGAACAGCTGACTTCTACCATATGGACCTCCACAGCTAAGAGGGGGAGGGATCTGGGCAGCAGCCACCCAACTCAGAACCTACCATGGACATGTAGACCTAGTAGTCCCTAGGGTGGGTTTTAAGACGGCTTCTCTGCTCAGTCTTGGCATTCTGTTGCACAGAAAGGGATCTGCACATCAGGCCGTCAGCCTGTCAGGTTTCACCCCAAAATGCTGGATGAGGCTGTTTGGAGGAACCTGTGACCTTAACACTGCAGAAAGCAGGTCACTGATCCCAAGAATTGGCTCATACACACTGCAGGGATGGGCCACCAGGAACTTCAGGGTGAGGCCTGTCCACTGGCTAAAGTGCCAGATCTCCAAGGGCACCCATGCCCCTCACTCTGAAGTTTTACCTTCTGTGTGCTCAGCTGCTCTGTCCCTTGGCTTAGACCTGAACTCTGCAGCACAACTGGGTCTTCTACCATAGACATCCACTGCTGCACACAATAGGACAGGCGGGTCTGAGAAGGTGGTGGAACCACTTGTTTCTCATCTGAGAAATCCCCTCTAGAGCTATGCTTCCTGGCCATGGGCCCTTAAGGGCTGGATACTCTCCCAGCTGCTAAGCCCACATTCCCCAGGAAGGGGCAGAGGTGCCTACTGGCGTTCAGGGCTGGTGCAACAGTTTTCCCACCAAGTTCCCAGAAGCTCACTTCATGTCTTGGCCAAGAGTGCCGTGTCAGAGACCTGGTGACAAGGGCTGAGTAAGTGACATCCAGGTGCCTCACTGCTCAAAGAAAGCACTGAGCTTGGAAAGCAACTTCCATCTTAGAGATTAGAGCCTGAGTTCTGGAAAGAGAACAATCCAGCCTGACCTTAGCCCCACCCCCAATTACACAAGGCCACAGGTGGCTTCAGCTCCATGGTTAAGGTGAGAGACAAGGAAGAGGACCTTATCTTGGCTATACCAAGGATAAGTGACCTTATGTACAGAAACAAACTACATGCTTCCAACTCTGCCACCTTTTGCAGCAAGTGAGGTGAGGGCTGTCTTCTAACAGCAGAACCACAGCACCTGAGGTGGGAAACACCTGCAGCTAACCCACTCAGGCCCACTGTGTCCCCATTGTGAGGACAAGGCCATACACAACAACTAAGCCACCTGGGGTGCAAGGAAGGACTATGGCCACATGAGTAGTTGCTGAGGGGCCATGGAAGGGGAGACTGCAGCAGCTATGAAAGGGCAGGTGAGGACATCAGGCAGTAACCATTGCCTGTGGTGTGATCCAGCACGCCTTACACTGACACATGCATTGAGAGTGTTTGTCTGACCCAAAGTCACTGGCATCCCAAGAGGCAATTGGCTGGAGTAGGGAGCCCTGGCCTCAGCAGCTGTGCTCTGGCCCCTGCCCCAGTGTCTTGAAGATCTGGGGTCCTGGCACAGAGGGCAGAGGACCCAAGCTCCAGGAACTGGTGAAAGAAGAGGCTGGGCTCTGGGCAGAGGACAAGGTGAGGGAGGAGGCAGTGGTGGAGAGGAGAGAGGATATGGAAGTAGCTCCAGCACTTGGGAAAGGTGCCGCCAAGGATTCTGTGCTTCCAGGGTCAAAAGACCCACTTTGTCTCTTTGGAGAGTAGTCCACCCAAACCCAGGGGATAGGCCAACAATGCCTTTCCTGGAAGCCTGCAGGCTGATCCCTGCCAGGCACCAGTGTAAACATTTGCAGTATGCCCACAGGAGGGCTGCAGCTGTCTGCCCAAAGGCAGGCCTGAGAGGTGCCAGTTCCATGGCAAGAAAAAGGTCCTTCAGCCTTTCTTTTTGGGGACACAGGACAGGGACTGTGGGGCTTTTAAAGTCTCTCAGCCTTGGCACCAGGCCCGAGACTGCTGCTGCTGCCGCCGCTGTCACCACCAAGGCATCTTGACAATGCAGAGACAAACAGCAGATGTGCCTGCCAACAGCTGCTCCAGAGGTGTGAGGAAGGTGTGGCCCTGGCATGGTGTGAGCTGAGCAAGCCAGCCTCCCAAGTTTTCTCTGGGCCTAGCACAGAAGCAGGAAGGAGGCTGGCTGCTGCCCTCCTCTGCAGGCCCAGAGACAACACTGGGGCAGGTCTGGCTCGTGAGCCATGGAGGTCAGCCACAGTCCCAAAGTCGTCACTCTCCAAGGGCCTGAGGATTCCTAGCTAAGACTAGCCCTCAACCTACCATCCCATTTCTGAGGAGGCTGCATGACGCATCATCTTCTGGGCCTAGGGCACTGTGGGCTCAGAACAGCTCCTGCTCATCATCCTCAGAGCCCGACGGGCCCTGGCGGACCTCCTCATACCACTTGTTGGTGAGGCTTTTCATTTGGATGCGCCCATGGTGGAGGTCCTGAAGCAAGACACGTAAGCGTCAGTGACAAGGTCAGGGAACAAGAGGCTGCTGTGAAGCTATGGGCTGGAGGTAACAGGAGGGCCTGCTGAGAACTGAGGGATGGAGGGGGAAATGGCATTTTAGAAACTCAGCCGTAGGAATTATGTAAGCCTCATCTCTGCCAGCTTTGGAACATGTTGCCCTGTGCATGTGAGCTTTCCCTGGGCCTCAATTTCCCCTGCTGTCAAATGAGATAACATGTTTTGCTGCTTAGCTGTTGGAGGACATGGTCTTGGGGGTGTGAGGGGCTGCTGTGGAGAGAGGGAGAGCAGCCAGGAGTGCCCACCACCTCTGGAGGAGGCAGCTGCAGTGCTTGGAGGGCCAGGGTCACAGGCTGATCTAAGACTTCTTGGCTCAGCATCAGAAGCTGATTCACGTCCGTGAAGGCAGCAGGGAAACCTAAACTGTTGTTAGCCATCTTCCAAGGCATGCAGCGAAGGAAAGACAGCAGGGTCAGAGCTAGGCTGCTTACTAGCCTCCAGCAGCGACTTCCCTCCCCACCCCTGGCCACTGCAGGCCTGATGGGAGGCAAGGGATTCCTGATATGCCCACCTCCTGTGTCAGCCGCCGTGTGAAGAAGGGGTTCAGGTACTTGGCATCCAGCCACATGAAGCCTTTGAGGTCCTGCTGTCTGATGTAGTGGGCTTCATATTCCTCCTCGGTGAGCTCAGACAGGTGCTCTGACTCAATGGCATTGCCCTGTGTGACAGAGCTGGCAGTGTGAGCAGGCACTTCCCTGGGAGCCCCCACTCTGCCTTCCTTCCAGAATGCCACCCCTAATGCATGCTACCCTAGTATAGGTGATCACCAAAGGGCTCGCAAAGCCTACTCTCTGCAGGGAGGCCCAATGACAAGTTTGGAGCATAGGAGTCTCCAAAGTGGCAAAGCCCTGCTTGCCTGGGCCTGCAGTGCAGAGGACAGTAGAGGAGTACATGGTCAATCTCTGGGGCCCCAGCTGTAATTCCTGCGACAGCAGGTTAGCGGGAGGGCTACCACATCTGCACACTCAATAACTTCCTACACTGCTGCTGGTCTGGTGACCCTCCTCTCAAAACCTAGTTAGAGCATCTGTTGGTGAGTGCAAGCTCTGACTGGAACTTTTTTCGTGCCTCAGTGTCCTTCTCACCTGCAGACTGGGGACTATGAAAGTCCCTGCTTCCTGTAGAGTCCAAGTGCCTTGGCCACAACACCGTGTTATGGTTGTCCAAGAGGGACTGTAACCTTGGCAGAAATGTCAACCCACACAAGGATTCCATCTGTAATTCCCAGTACTTGGGAGGTAGAGGCAAAAACATTGCAAGGCAGCTGTAGCCACAACACAGTCAAGCCCACCTTAATCTACAGTGAGCCCATAACAAAACACAAAAATGGGCTGGAAAGATGGCTCAGTCGTTCTGAATGCTTGCTGCTTTTCCAGGACTGTAGTTCAGTTCCCAGTACCCATGTTAGGCTCTTAAATGCTTGTCGCTCCAGTTCTGTAGGATCTAATGCTCTCTTATTGTATTCATGGGCATGAGTATATGTACACGTACGCACACACGTGAGCACACACACACAGCTTACACATACACAGACAGATGCAGACTTTTAAAAAGTTGAAAACAAGGAAACAAAAACAACAAGAACAAAAAAGTAAAGATCACAACACAACCAAGCAAAATGGTTAGCTAGAAGCTGGGAAGAAAGGGCTCTGAGCATGAGAAGGACCTGCAGAGTCCAAGGCTGGCTACCTAGAGGAAAGGCCCTGACTCTCCCATTCCACATAGCACTTTGATGACTGACCCAAGTTACTGACATCTTCCTCAAAGAGGGAGACTAGAAGGAAATGCATCTCGGAATGCAGAGGGTGGGTAGAAGCGTGGGTCAGGAGTCAGGGTTGCTGCCGTGAGGAAGGAAGGGCAGGGAGCCAATGCAAGGTGGTCCCAGCCTGAGAGTAGGCAGCAGGAGGTGACTCACAGGAAGCAAAAGTGTGCAAGGGGGCACAGAAACCTCAGTTTCCAATGTCTGGGCCCTGAACCCCTCTATCCCTAAACCATGACCCCTGTGTCCTTGAGGATGCCACCTTGAGCTGACCCCTCAGCTACAAGCCATCATCCTCTTGGTCCCTACTGAGAGGTATAAACGCACACTGAAGAATACCTAATTTTGAAGCCATTTGGTCCCTGACCTGGGCTTCTGGCTCAGCTCCTGGCAGCCGAGGCACTCTCCCAGGATTCTGGCACAGGCTCTACTTCAAATGTCCTGAGCTACAGATGGCATCAGTTCTCAGCTGCTATGGCTTCCGCAGGTCACAAGGCTGGCACACACCCCACCCCAGAGAGTCATGCTTTAGAAGCCAAGTTGCTGCACCTGTTCTCAGGCTTGCACGGCTGACCCTGGGGTAAGCAAATGCATATGCAAGAGCCTGACCTGCTCTCCCCGGCAGACAGGCAGGGCCCATAGCCGCACTAACCATCTTCTCAGTCTTGCTGAGATTGACATCCTTCTTGTTCCTGCGGCGTGCCCGGGCATCCTCAATATCCACAAGGCGGATGAGAGGCATGGTGCTGCCTCCCAGAAGCAAGATGGTGAAGAGCACAATGACAATGGTGGTGGTGCCAATGAGCTGTCGCTTCTCCATGGGCTCCAGGCCCAGATGCAAGCTCAGTGCATAGGGGATGGCCCCTCGAAGGCCTGGAACAGTAAATGGAGATTCAGGGCCAAGCAAGAAGCAGGGAGAGAGAACAGAGAAGAAAGTGGCTCCAGCTTAGCACCACTAACAGTAGGACCTGCAGAAATGGTCTAGGATGGGAGAGTAGATAGCAGGGCAGACAGGTTGAAGTCCCTTGTGTGTTCTACACGCGCTGGTTCCAGGCAAGCTGACTACAGCCATGGCACTGTGTAGCAGGCGTACTCGGGGACCCATCAGATCTGTCATATGACAGCGATGGTAGCTGAGTCCTACCTGGGTGTCCCAGGCCCCCAACCAGGTGTTCTGTGCACAGACAGGGCTGTCTGCCACAGAAACCTGCCCAGCAGGTGCTGCCACTCTCCACAGCGCCCAGGCGGGAACCAGCCTAGAGTAGAAGTGCAGCAGACCCAGGCAGCAGTGAGGGTATGATCTGCCTAGTGACTCTTCTATCTGTGGAGCTTGCTGGCAACGATGACAGGACTAGGGGTGTGGGCAGAGCTGGAACCAGTTGCTCTGTACCATACACACAGAGCAGAGGCTCCTGAGCCCTGCCTTCAGAAGCTCCCAGAGCAGCTAGGTCAGTAAACACAACACTAAATTCAGAAGAGTCACTGGGAAAAGAGACCACAGTGGGGTAGCTCAGACATGTAAGAGGGGACTCTGAGAAGCTTGGCTGCTGCAGCAGTCCAGACCTGAGATGGCCAGGAGGCCAGGATTCAGAGATCTAAGCACGGGGAGCTACTCTTCTCCAAACCTACAAGGGTCACAGGATGAGGGAACCTGACATATGTGACAGGCTCAGTGTGCACATGTGCCTAACAGGGATAGGAAGGGAGCAATATATACCAACCCACCGTGCTGCTTCCCATGGAAGGGAGGGCAAGCCAAGCAGCAGGCAGGCAGTGGGGCTCTGGCTCAAGGAACTCGCTGTGGCCCATGACACCCAGAAGTAGAAAGGAGTAGGAACTGGGTTCCAAGGGAAGGGCTGGTTTGGAGAGATGGACAGATGGAAAGGCCAGGTCAGGAAGTCCAATACTGTCAGAATACAGGTTCAGAAAGAGGTGGGGCCGGGACCCAGGATGCCACTGTCTGGGGTCAGTGTGGGAAGGGTTCAGTGGGAGGCTGGGGAGGTGTCTTTGGTATACTGGCAACAGTAGTGGGAAGAGGGAGTCTGAAGTCAGGCAGATACACTAGGTCAAGGGTTGATTCTGCAGAAGCCACTGGTGAGCTGCTCAGGGCCAAGGCCAGCACAGCAGATGGGAACAGGGGTGGGGAAAGTGAGGACAGAGTGAGGAGCTGGGGCTGGGAGAGCAGCTCTGGTTTTGATTGGGAGGAGACATTAACTGTTTAAATGATAATTCCAGCACTTGGGAGGCAGAGGCAAGGAGGATGGCTCCAAGTTCAAACCTAGATTCCTTTGCAAGTTTCAGGTCAGCTAGACCTCTACATGTTTCTGTGAGACAGGGGTTCTGGTTGGACTCAAGCTAGAAATCCACCTGCCCTGTTCTTCCAAGTAGCTGGCATTATAGTTCAGTGCCAGTGTACTTAGCTCAGTTTTTATAATAAGGCCTTTTTGAAGAAAAAGAATTATGAAGCAAATTGTAGTGAACATTATGAAGCACTTCAACCCTCATGGAAATATTCAGTTATATTTACTTATTTTATTTTTTGAGATGGTCTCACTCTGTAGCCCTGGCTGGCCTGGAACCCACAGAGATCTGCTTGTCTTTGCTGGGATCACAGCCTGTGCCTCCACACCTGACTAATGACACTTAAATAGGAAGAGTACAGAGAGTTAACAGTTCCTAAGGGACTGGTGCTTTAGAGCTGAATATTGACAAAGTCATTCTAGACTTCAGAAAGTAGAGAAGTGTGATTGACAGGAAGCTGCAACGCTCAGATTCAGCTATGGGGCTCTGCAGCAGAAGAAGAAATAACCTGGATAGCCATCAGGAGGCCTTGGGTCGAATCCATATGCTTAGCACCACCCCACACCACATACCATGCTACACAGGCCTGCCAAGGGTGTGCATGGAGCTGGACAGGTTCTTGCTTTGCCTCCAAGGGTTCCTGGATGCTAGGCATGATCTTTGCCCTCCTGGAACCTGAGCATTCTCATTCCAGGGTTGGAAAAGGGCCAACCACTTCATGGTGCTGTGACAAGGGTGCCATCTGGTAACACCTGTTGGAGCCTGGCTTGCCACTTTAGGCCTGCCCACCCTGGTTGCCACTTACCACTGAACCACATGATGAACATCATCTTGGGGGTAATTTTGTGATCTCGGAAGAAGTTCAGCAGGTAGGACAGAGGGAAGATGTTGACAGCTCTGCCGAACAGTACCAGTACCTGTTGATATCAATATGCTCAATGCAGGCGGAATCTACTGCACCTTCAGGCCAACATCAGTGTAACACACCTGTCTAAGGTTGTCCTGCTTTCAGCTACAGAGACCCCAACAGTCAGAGCCTCACACATGTGCTGCTGTCTTGGCTCGGCCTGGGTAGAGCTTTTCGGTCTGACCTTTTGTCTCAGATGCTAGAAGAAAAGAGACTAGAAGCATCATCATAGGCTTTAGTCACACAGCCTCAGAACAAAGGCAGCACCACCAGGAATCCATAATGGGGTGGGCTTATGCTAATCCTTCCCACTGTGGCACTGTGGGGAAGAGGGGACACAGGTACTTCTGCCTTTGCTCTGCGGTCTGGCTTCTCAGAGCAAGGAGGACGGGCTGAGTGAGGCCTACCTGGGAGCACAAAGGTGTCTCAAGTCCTGGGCCTATTGTGGGGGTAAAGCCTCCTCCTTTAACCAACCACAGCTCCAAGGGGCTGGGGTAAGGGCTGGGCTCCAAGCATCTGCTTCTGCACAAGGCCCTGGGTTAGATCCCAGCAACTCAGAAACTGTCAGAGTTTCTGTGAAAGGCCTTCCCAATGCTTCCCCCTAGACCTGTGCTCACAGGGCAGACTGACATAGGCAGGCGGCCATCTCTAAATGGAGGTCACATGGGAACGGGAAAGAGTCAAAAGGACCCAAGAAAACTGGGGTCTCGTGCGGTTGAACACATTTCTCCTTTCCTTTGAGGCAGGTTCTGCCTGCGAGCTTAGACTGTTCTTGAATGTGCCATGTAGTTTAAGCTACCCTTAAGACTTCTTCCTGCGGACCTGGAGAGAACATCAGTGCACATAAAATAAAAATAAATAAATCATTAAAAAAAACTATTTTATTGTCTTTTCTTGAGACAGGGTCTCAATGTGTATGTAGCCCTAGTTGGTCTGGAACTTGCTACACAGACCAGGGTGGCCTTAAACTCACAGAGCTCTGCCTGCTTCTGCTTCCCAAGTGTTGGGATTAAGGGCATGCACCATCACACCCAGCTGGCCTTAAACTCTTAATTCTCCTGCCTTCATCTCCCAAGTGCTGGGGTTATGGGCACCCACTGATATGCTCTGGCTAAGACTGTACTGTCTGAAGGCGACTACACCATTCAAGGACATTGAAAGTGTAAAGCGTCCAGATGCTTATGTCTGGGATTTTTTTTAAAGAAATGACATTTTCAACAGAATCACGTCTCTGTAGTTGTCGGCTCTGAACTGGTCACAGTTACATAGATGGTTCCAGACCATGTAGCTGATATTCTAACAATAAACATTCAATAAAAACAAGAAAATACTTACTATGCACCAGATGACAAAGGAAATTTCAAACTTGTGAGGGAAACTAAAAATGGACAGGCCAAGAAATGCAAACACACATGTTTCTGAAAGAAATCAAAGAATGGATTATTCACCCCAGTTCCTTTCTTACAATCCAGTAGTAACTTAAGCATGCATTTCCAAAGCCACACCAATAGCCATCTTATTTTCTGGAAAAATCTTGCACCAGATACTGTGGTTAGACTTTGTACTTACTATTTTTTTTTTGGGGGGGGTAGATGGAATGAGATAAGGTCCTGCTATTTGGCCTAGGCTGGCCTAAATGGGGGTAGATGGGTTGGGATGAGGTCTTGCTATCTGGTCCAGGCTGGCCTAGAATCTGAGTGCTGGGATTGCAGGCATGAACCACCATGACCAGCTTCCTCCTTTACTGTCACGTAGGCAATGTGTCTCTGCTATTGACAATTTCCCAATGTAATGAGTAAGCTGTCAAATACTGTATGCAAATAAACAAGCTCCCACCCGTGTATCTGCTGAATCAGTCAGGGTTCTACCTACATGGCTCAAAGTGGCAAGAATTCCAAGCATTTGACTGTAGGTGCCATATGACAAGTGAGAAAGGGGGCTTCAGTTAACTCCCTCCCAGTTCATCGTGCCGACAGCACCCGCTAGCGGACAGAATGTACTGATGCTGGCTGGAGGCTCAAGAGGCAGCAAACCCACAGGGTTAGCTTGTGGGGAGGACCCATTTGCACACTTGGTCACACTTGGTGCAAACATTTGTGTGTGCTAAAAAAAAGAGCACCTCATAAATTTCCAGGCTCCTGATTAAACTACGGGGTCCAAAAGAAGAGCCCAAAGAGCCCAACACCTAAGGAGACAGGGATTGCATTTTAAAATGTGCACATCGAGCTGGTGAGGCTATTTAAATCACTTCAGTGGCGTTTGCAGTGGCTCGTGTATTCTTCAACACAGCACGAGCAGGGTGCTTGTCCCTCCCCTCCCTCAGACACCTTATCTAATAATGTGCGATCCTTCAAGCCAGTGCATTCAGGCCTACTCCACTTCTCCCTAGGAGCGGGAAGTGTGGTTGACTTAACCCATCCTTTCAGGGTGGCCACATAAGCTGCTTCTGGCAATGCAAGCTACATGAAGGCAGCCTAGTACACTGGTTAACCTCCTCACTAAGAGCAGGCCAGGAGAAAGCACATGCCTGGTGAATTCCCACAGATGCTGTGATGGAGCTTCAGAGGAGATGGCATGCATGTACAGTCCCAGAACTGAGTGCTAACTAGAGCTAGTCAGGGGCATGAAACAGAAGCCAAGAGGTGCACTGTTCTCTGCTCTACCCTGTGAGGACCAGGTCAGAGCCTTTGGCCAAGGCTTTCTGGTAAGAGCTGTGGATCAGCCGGGCAGTGGTGACACACACCTTTACTCCCAGCACTCGGGAGGCAGAGGCAGGCGGATCTCTGTGAGTTCGAGGCCAGCCTGGTCTACAAGAGCTAGTTCCAGGACAGGCTCCAAAGTCACAGAGAAACTCTGTCTCGGGGGGGGGGGAGCTATGGATCAAACAGCCACTGGAGCACTAGAGGCCTGTCTCCTAGCTTGTACCTTGACAATGGGTTATCTGGCCTCTCCTTACCCAGCTTCCCTACCTTGCAGACAGCCCTGCCATCCCCGGCTCAAAAGTGAAACAAGGCCCCTGAACACTAGGGAATGCTAAAATTGCAGCTGAGGTCTAGCCCCAGCGCATATGCACGCCTGAGCAGTTTAAAGGGATGGTTAAAGATAGCATCTTTACTCCAGGTATGAACATGAGTGGGTATGTGGTACATGGAGGGGGAGGAAGCTCCAACTGTCACTGCTTGACAGGCCTCATACGCATCCGAGGGGAACACGGCTCTGGAATTTCCCTCAGGGCTAGGATGCCCTCATTTAGAAGCTCACAGTGCCCCTAGATGGAAAGCCCAAGACCCCACCACTCAAGGGTGGGGCCATTTAACCACCTCAGCATCATCTCTAAGGAACACCTGTAGAGATTCCACATTAACACCTGGAATGTTTAGCAGCAGTTCCATTTTTGGTCATAAACTGCAGGCATCAAACGTCCATTTCTTAAGTATTGCACATCTTCTATGGAATCACAAAACCACAGGAGCCAACCCAGGAGTTAGGAGCATGGTACTTGCTTGAGCTTGGAAGGATTCTGGGCCCTGCTGCCAAGGAAAAATCCTAGCTTACACCTCATCAGGGCAGGAATCCCAGTTTGTGTGGACACTCAGAGGTGGGACTCACCACATAGGAAGGCCACTGTCCGGAGGGTCTGCTGCATGAGGATCTGGGTGACTGGGGAGAGGTTATGGTGTGTGTAATGTGACATCACGATGCCAGAAAACAGGATAGCCATGATGCCTGGAGAGAGGGGCAGAGGGAAGACATGACATTCAGCACAGGAACAGGTGTGCAGATTAGACCACACTCTTCCCTGGATCCCAGAACCCCAAATATTAGGGATTTAAAAAAAATGGAGGATCTGGAAAGATGACTCAGAGGTAAAAAAGCAGTGGCTACTCTTCCACAGGACCCACATTTGGTTTCCAACACCTACAAGGCAGCTTACAACACCCTCTTCTGGCTTCTGTGAGCACCAGCTTTGCAAGCAGTACAAAGACATACATTCAGGCAAAGCACCCAGTGCATAAAAAGGAAAGAACACAGAAAGAAACTGGGATGCAGTTTCAGCTGGTAGACTGTCTGCCTCGCATGCAAGAAGTCCTGGTCCCATCCCTAGTAGCACATAACCAGATTGGTGACACACCCGGCAATCTCACCAACTGGGAAGTAGACAGCAGGTCAGAAATTCAAGGTCATCATTGGCTAAATAGCAAGTATGAGGGCAGCCTGGACCACATGAAACTCTGCCTCAAAAATAGGGAGGAGACAGAGAAAGAAAGTGAGGAACAAAGTGTGGGGAGAGACAGAGGCAGGGAGAGACGGGGGGATGCAGACACACAATCCTGAGGCCTTTCAGAAGCTACAGAGAAATGGCCAGGGCCTTGCCTCTCTCTGCCAGCTGGTGACACTGGCCAAGTGGCTCCCCATCTCCAAGCTGTATGTAGTTCCCTCAGTGGTGCAGTCCCTGCTCCCACAATAGTCAGGGGTGAGTGAGAGATATGAACTGAACATCACAGTTGTGGAATATTCCTTTACACTGTGTGAAGATGTGTCACTGTGACTGGTTTAATAAAAAGCTAATAGTCAGACAGGATTTTCAGGGCAGAGAAGATGCTGGGAAGAAGACAGAAGTGGAGAGACAGACATGGAGGAAGTAGGAAAGCTAGAAGGACAGAATGTAGATGAGGTAAATGAGCCTCGAGGCAGCATTTAGATGAACAGAAACAGGTTAAGTTGTAAGAGCTAGTTAGAGACAAGCCTAAGTTATCGAATGAGACTTCATAATTAATAAGACGTATCCTTGTTGTGATTTGGGAGCTGGCTGCCAGGACAGAGGAAGACTCGCAACATATGGCACCCAATGTGGGGGACATATTTCCACATAAGACCCGAGAAAGCTTTTTAAAAAGGCTGCAAACACACAAGAACAGAGCCAAATGTGACTTCCTAGTCCCACAGTCTCTCATGTAGGCCGCAGTGCTGAGATGCACCTCTCAGTCACTGCCTGTGGGCTTGAGTCACTAGCGTACCATGAGCTAAGCTGTGCAGTGGTTTAAGGTTTTGCTCATGTAGACAGAAAAAATTACAGATACACAGTAAAGCAGATTCAAAGAGAAAAAACTCTAAACAGGTTACAGTGTGTTTAACAATGTGTGTAGGCTTAAGGGTGAAAAAAAAGCAGAGTATAGACAATCATAAAAAATAATTGAAAAATAAAGTAGCCTTTAAGAGAAAAGCAAAAAAAAAAAAAAGAATAATCCATGTAAGGATGGGAAATATTATAAAACAGGAGTTTGACCTTATATGTTAAATAAGGTCAAATTAATAAAATATGTTAATTTTGAAATTTTAAAATGATAACAAACAGATAGCAGCTGATGAGAGACATTGGGTTGTAGAAGGGACTGCTAAATTAAACCACCCTATATATTTTAACAATGTCTTAGATGGGCGGTGGTGGTGCATGCCTTTAATCCCAGCACTCGGAAGGCAGGGCTGTTACATAGAGAAACCTTGTCTCAAAAAGACAAAAAAAAGTCTTAACTTCAAAATGAAAGTCAAAAAATATTTTACACTGGGGAAGAAGTTATGCTTTTGTTTCCACAGAAAATGAAAGGCTGTGGATTCATTCAAGGTTGATGGAGATCTGATTTGATCAGAGAAGACCCCCCTGAAAATTCTGGTTACAAACAAAAAGAAATAAACCTAAAAATATTACAAGACATGTCACGTATATTTTACCTGCTCAAACATGAAATAAAAACTCATCTTTGGCTGGATTATGTATAGCACATAGTCCGTCTTATGTTAATATAGATATTACGTTACCTTTAAAGGTTTTTGTGTTTTCAGAGCAAGGGGACCAGATACCAACGAAGACGAGCGGCCTAGGTGATCCAGCCTCTTAGAGAGCCTCTGCTGCAATTTCCTCAGAGTTCTGCATCCCGAACAGCTTCACAGCTGCTGGCTGAGGTTGTCCACCCTCACAGACTATTCTCCAGGACTTGGCCATTATCCTAATTTTCTTAGGGTCCCCCAAAGATGAAAGAGCCCCCAGACAACAGGAAGCAGTCTAGCATTCCCAAGAGGTGGAGTGGGTGATTTTTGGTCATTTGATGGATTTATAGATATTTGTCATCATTTGGGGGGTTGGTCATAAATTGTTACTGGTCATGGTCAGGGAGAAAGCTAAACAAAGATTAGAGTCAGGGATCTCTTTCTGAAGGGAAAAGAGGGGACACAGTATAGAAATGGTGGAATAAAAGGGTGAATTGTTGAGTCTACTTTTAAACAACCAGTAGTCTTAAATATTTCACATTGCTATGGATTTTTTTGTATATTGATATAGATTTAAGGTTATTTGTTAGAACATACTTACGTTTCTGCTATTTTTTAAAGATTTATATATGTATGTATGTATATAACATTCTGCCTGCATATGCTTGCTGGCCAGAAAAGGGCACCAGATCTTCTCATTACAAATGGTTGTGAGCCACCACATGATTGCTGGGAATTGAACTCAGGACCTCTGGAAGAGCAGCCAGTGCTCTTAACCATTGAGCCATCTCTCCAGCCCTCTGCCATTGTTTAAGATATTATACCTATGCAACTCATTTAACAATGGAATATAAATTTCTAGTCTTTAAAAGCTATTATTACAAACTAATTAAGATAATTAAAAATGCAGGTTAGTAATCAATCATTTATAACAATCAAACTTGTAGCTGTGGTAGGTATGTTTTCAAGGTAAAACAGAGATTTTTGAGATAGACAGGTGGTCTTCAAACAGTTCACAGATCTACAAAATATGGCATTTGAGATGTTTTAATAACATAAGGTTGTTTATGACAGTAAGACATGTCTGCTCCTGGCAGCACTGATCTACTTCAGAAATGATTGGTATCGAAGAACCTCCATATGGAGTTTGCTTTCTTTATGGCAAAAGTAAGCCACTGGGCAAGAAATGGTCCTTTCTTCAACTGTTGACAGTATGCTGTCCAAATTGATAACAGGACACAAAAGAAAGTGACTGCCAAACATTGCCAAAATAAGGTATATCAGTCCTTCAAAATTCTTGCTTCATAGAAAAAAAATCTGTCAGATATTCTAGGCCGTAGGCTGAAGATGGATGCCCCAGCATTACAGAGGAAGCTTGGGTGACTGTCTAGGCAGCCAGCTGTTTCTGTCATTTCTATAGTTTTGAAATAGTTTTGGAAATTTTTGCTCTGCACTTCCTGTTTACACAGGTAATATTATATCCTTTTGGGCTTTTTGATGGAGTTGAAGACTAGGCAGTTATAACTGCAGTTTTTCTTAGTTATTACAAAAGATAAATTAGATTCAGAGCTTTGGACACATCAAGATGGAATAAATAATGGAGTATTTTCTCAAAATATAACAAATATAAATGGGTTGGACATTGTAAATGTAATTCTTACCTGATAATTGTTCTTATTGTTTTTAGTTTTATTATGTTAGCATTAAAAACTTTCCTTTTTATCTAGATAAAAAGGGGGAAATGTGGAATGTTCCTTTACACTGTGTAAAGACATATCACTGTGATTGGTCTAATAAAAAACTAAATGGCCAATAGCTGGGCAGGATTTTTGGGGCAGAGAGAACACTGGGAAGAAGGCAAAACTACCAGCCAGACACAGAAGCAAGAAAGCAAGATGGACAGTATGTGGATGAGGTAAACGAGCCTGGGGCAGCAAGCAGATTAATAGAAATGGGTTACTTTAAGTTGTAAGAGCTAGTTAGAAAGGAGTCCAAGCTATCGACTGAGCTTTCATAATTAATAAGAAATATCCTTATTGTGATTTGGGAGCTGGCTGCCAGGACAGAGGAAGACTTGGCACACACAGTACCAGGCTCCATGGCTGTGTGGCTGGTACTGTCACCTAAGAACCAGGATATAAAGGATGGCCTCATGGACCTTTAAGATACTCTCAGTCCCATCTAAGCAGAAGGAAACTGAGGTTTTTTTAAAAGCCACTGAAGATGCCAAAATACAGAAACTACAAATCAAACTTTACAAGCCAAATTTTAATTTGCTTCCACCATTTTGGAGAAGCAGTTAAAACTGGCCAACTACACTTATGCAAGGCAAAGATCACAAGCTGTGTCACACACTAGCCACTGAACTGACCACACACTAGGCCCTGCAAAACAGGTCACCTGCTCTTGGAAATCCCCACAGAGCACCTGCTCTTGGAAATCCCCACAGGGCTGTGCTGTGTACATGACAGAAGGACTGGAATGTTGTATCCCCAACCTCCCAGGAAGCAGCCCTTTCCTTTATGCTCCCACTTTGTCTGCAAAAGGAGACAGACAAGGAGATAATCCAGAGCAGATGAACAAAGGGAAGGAGCAGGGCTTGCTCACTTGCTTTGTGAATACAAAGTGGGCTTTTCCTAGAGCTGCAGTGGACAAAGAACCCCCAGCACTCCCCAATTTTGCCTGCTCTCATTATGCCCCTGCAGGTGTTCTCTAGGAAAGCTGACCCTCCCTCATCCTGCAGCATCACCATAGCCATCAAATGTGACAGACACCAGGAGGCTGGCATGATGGCTCGGCGGTTAAGGGTACTTGTTGCTCTTGCAAAGGACCTGGGTGTGAGCCCTAGCACCCATGTGGTAGCTAACAATCACCCACAATTCCCAGGCACTTATGTGGGGCACAATCACATACAACAATAAATCTAGCCAGGTGTTGCGAATTAGATTGGTCCATTAAATAACCAGGCCAGCTCAAGAATAACAATTATATTTTAATGGTTATAAGGGGAAATTCACGCTACAAGAGTGGGAGGTCTGACTTCCTATCTGCCAGGTGAGCGCCGCTCAGAGAGAGCGCGCACCTGAGTCCTCCCAGTTTTTCTTCCTGGGCCCCTGGTAGCTATGCCTTAACTAGATGTGATTGATTGACAGAGTTTCTCCATCAGCCAGACATGGTGGCAAGCCTTTAATTAAAGGCAAACCTTTAATCCCAGCACTCGAGAGAAAGAGGCAGGCGGATCTGTGATGAGTTTCAGGAAACTCAGAGCTACATAATAGAAAGCCCATGTTATCAAAAAACAAAACATGCAAAAAAATAATCTAAATATTAATAAATAAAAATTTACAAAAATGTGACAGCAGGCAGGGATGCAGGTTTGGAAAGTCACGTTCAGCACATGTGAGGTCCTGGCCTTGGGCCCCTCTGTCCAGCATTATAGCAGCAACCGGCATCAAGAAGCACCCATGGACTAGGAGGGAGCCATAACAGGGAGTGGTCTCAAGCTCTCGGGCCCTACTAAGTCCAGTGCTCACAGGGCTGCCTTAGACAAAGGTCATCAACATGCTTTTCATCTCAATGTAATGTTAACCCAAGCTACAATGCTCCATCAGCTGAACCACCACTCCGTCATGCTACAAAGAGAGAGCTGTTGTGATTGGCAGAAGGGACTATAAAAACTTGCTACAGAGAGTGAAGGCTCAGGAAGCAGCCTGTGTGGAAATTTCCCAGGATCTGTCCAGAACAGTGTTGCTCAGTTCCAGTAGGGGGCAGTCTAGGCAAAGGGCTGCAGGTGGCTATGTTGCACTGGACCAGGGTTAAGTACACCAAGAACACTTGGTATGGGAAAGTACCAGAGCTGCATCTTCACTTCTGAGATGGAGTTTCTTACCATATGGATGCTGAATTTGACCGAGGAGAGTCCAGATGGGCACTCCAAGGGACAGCTCAGGAGTCTGCCCATGAAGCCTCTCCACGCCCGACCACCCTGACCCTTAGACAATCTCAACTACTTAAACCATCACTGTACAGGCCCAAAGAATCAGAGGTCGGGGATGGTGCCACTAAGGCTCACTTTTGGGAAAATACATGAATTAGCTACATTCAAAAAAACCTTTTTAAAAAATTTTATATGCCCATGATCTGCTGGAAAAACACAAGTAAGTGGGTTTTTTTGTTGTTGTTGTTTTGTTTTTGATTTTCGAGACAGGGTTTCTCTCTGTAGGTCTGACAGTCAAACACTCAACAGTTCTTAACAAAGTAAAACTGAGGCTGGGTGGTGGTGGCATGTGCCTTTACTGCCAGCACTCAGGAGGCAGAGGCAGGCAGATCTCTGTGAGTTCAAGGCCAGCCTGGTCTACAGAGCAAGTTTCAGGACAGGCTCCAGAGTGACAAAGAAACCCTGTCTCAAAACAAATAAGACAATAACAACAAAAAAGTAAAACTCTTATGCATCACATTACCTAGCAACATCACATGATCAAAAACATTTGAGAATATTCACAGGCCAAAGTGGAAACCCTGATTCCCTCCTTGAATGAGATAGTGCGCTAGTGCTTCCTGCCACCTCTGTCATAGACAGATCAGGCACCAACGACTACATGTCACATAACGTCACCTAGTGACATCTGGGAAAGAACTATTAACAATGCAGTTCACGGTGACTGCAGAAGACACAGGGATCTGACCAGGGCCCTGTGACTACACACATCCATCAAAACTCAACAGAACACCATACATCAAAGGCTGCTTTTATTGCAGTGACCTACCCGATAAACCCCACTGTAGTTTAAACTCAACAGAACACCAACATGGATGGCTGCTATTTACTACTGTAGAGAGCAACCCACTGCAGTTTAAAGGAGAAGCCTTCCTTCCCACAGCAGAGTTCAGCCTGGCCTGTGTGCTGCTTCTCTTCCTCATACAGCTCTCACCTAAGGGTGGAGTCCTGGTGTCAAGGAGAGCCCTTCTCATTCAGCTGTACCTGCACCTGGGAACAAGGCATGGAGCTTGTGCTAGACCTGCAAGTCAAATAGTGGACACAGGATCTACACCACTTGAGGCAGAAAGCTAAAAGACGGGCTGCTGACTGATCCCACAGCATGGAAGGCTGCAGGAACCGGTGCTCAAGTGGACAGCCCCTCCTCCTACAGCAGGGAAATATGCACCTGGGAAGTATGGGGTTCAGGGAGTCAGTATTTAAGTCTCATAACCTCACAACCTTGAGTAAGGAGTCAACTGGATACTCACTCCAGGGGTGGCAAGGTTAAAATCTAACTGCCAGCCAGCGAGGGAGCACCCATCTGTCACCTCAGCTATGAAGGAGGCTGAGGCAGGAAGATTTCGAGTTAGTTTCAAAGCTAGCCTGGACTAAATTCTCACTTCAAAAATCAAAACAAATACGAGGCCAGCCTGGTCTACAAAAGCTAGTTCCAGGACAGGCTCCAAAAAGCTACAGAGAAACCCTGTCTCAAAAAAATAAATAAATAAATCAAAACAAATAATACATTTTCCTGCATGTAAGCCCCACTGTGCTATCCTGTTGCAGCGTGTGGTTTCATGAGAAGCTTGCTGAAGGAAGCTGGGTAAGCCGGTTCTGAGCCTCAGTTCAGGGGTCCAGACATCACTGCTCTAATTCCAGCTATGACAGCACCAAGTGTTTTGCTTTGCTTTTGTGCTGTGTACAGGTGTATACATGCTCTGTATGGGCATCTGCATGCCTGTTTGTATGTATGTGCATGTAGAGGTTAGAGTTTGACTTTAGGTGTCTTCTACTATTGATCTCATTTTTAAGGTAGGGCTTCTCATTGAACCTGGAGCTCATCAATTCTGCTAGACTGACTGGCCAGCAAGCTCTGAGAATCTCCATGTCTCAGTGCCCAGTGCTGGGGTTCCAGACACACGCATGCTGTTACACCTAACTTTCACTTGAGCAACGTGGGTCCAAACTCTCATCCTCATGTTCCACAGCGAGCACTTTACCAACTGATCCATCTCTCTAGCCCCTGACACTGATTTAGCTACTTTGTCTGTCTGCCCTCTGTCTATGTTTTTGTGAATATGTGCACATGCAGAGGGCAGAGGACAAACGTTGGAGTTGGCTCTCAACCTTCCACTATGGGGATTCTGGGGACCAAATTAAGGCCATCAGTTTTGGTGGCAACTGCCTGCACTTGCTGAGCCATCTCAGAGTTTGACTGTTTCTGAGACAGGATCTCATGAAGCCCAGGCTAAATGTGCTGTGTGGTGGAAGACGACCTTGAACTCCTGACCCTTCTGCCTGCATCACCCCCTCCCCCCACAGTGTACTACACTTCAACCTCAGGTTTTCTTGTGGTAAAACTGGGCCCGTCACAGCACCATTATCTCTGCCAAGAGAAAGCAGTTCACCTGATAAAACCTCCATCACCAGGTAAAACACTGAGCCTCGGTCACAGCACGCTGGTTACTGTCTCTAGGCACGGTCACAGCGTGCTGGTTAGTATACCTTACCTGAGAGTGAGATTCCCTCTGCCAGCCCATATGGCAGGTAAGCAAAAATGATCATCATGCCAAACTCCAGAGAAGGTGTTCTCCTCAGGTCAATGTGCTTCAGCACGTGGCACAGGTGTCAAGGAGAAAGGCTCAGGGCACTGGAGGAACGCAAGGCAAGGCACAGATATATAAAGCAGACGAGCAGTGAGAAAGACGCTGATCCTGGCACAGTTACAGTAGGGAATTTCTCACTACAGAATTGTTTTTCTTTGTAGAAACAAGAACCTGACAGACATTCAGAGACACTGACTTAGCTGTGGCTGCAGACAGCTCACCCAACTGCTTACTCTCCAAGAACTCATCGCCCTGCTGAAAGGCCTGTCCTTCCTGTCCTTGCAGAATACCACTCATGCCCCTAGGAGCAGAGGGCCCAACTGAAGCTGAGTTCCCATGTTCTTGCCTCATTACAATATGTACTCCTTGAAGGCAGCCACATTCACTGCCATTTTCTTTCTTTCCTTCTCTGCCTCTTCCTCTTCCTTTTGCCTCTCTTTCAGACAGGATCTTATAATGCAGCATTACTGGCCTCAAACTTGTGAGAATCCTTTTACCTCATGAATTCTGAATGCTGGGATTATAGGCATGTATCATTATCTCTGGCATGTTTTTAATTTTTTTTTTTTACATTTTACGTGTATGAGTGTTTTGCCTGTATGTCTGCGTACCACATATGTACAGTGCCCACAGAGGTCAGAAGAGGGTGTCTGATCCCCTGGAACTGGAGTTTCAGGTAGTTGTGAGCTGTCGTATGGGTGCTGGGAACTGAACGTGGATCCTCTGTAGGAGCAGCAAGTGCTCTTAACTGCTGAGCTGTAAAACTAGAGGAAACGCTACATTCTCATTTTGCTTATTGACAGCTATCAACTCAAATCAGTCTTCAGCTCTGGACAGAGGAACAGACCAGAACATAGCCAGGATGGTAAGAAACATACTCAGAACCAGGCAAGAGTGTTCCAGCTAGCTGAGAGACAAACTGCTTCAGGAGGGTCATGTGGCCATTCTGGGGACATGGGCCAGTTGCCAAACTTCTCTGGAGCCTGTCCTATTTCTGCAGTTAAATTGTCACCAGCAATAAGGTCTCACTGCTATAGAGTCCTGTTCTCTGGCTGACAGCCCTCACCTGGAAAGCAGTTCACAGTGCAAACCATGTGGGCGGTACTTTCTGAAAGCCCTTGCCATCCTTCCAGATAAACTCTCACCCAGGGAAGATGGTCAGAGCACCACACTTCTAGGCGAGGGAGACGGCTGTGGTGAATAGCCACCTCACTGAGTTCAGTTCCTAGCACCCGTATCAGCAGCTCACAACTGTTCTCTTTTTCTCTCTGAGACAGTCTCTACAGAGCCCTGGCTGTCTGGGACTCTGTAGACCAGGTTGGCCTTGAACTCAGAGATCCACCTGCCTCTGTCTCCCAAATACTGGGATTAAAGGCATGCACTACCACCACCTGGCTAAAAATAAATCTTAAAATAAAAACAAACAAACAAAACCCACATACAACCTAAGAAAATTCCCAGTTTCCTGGGTGTGAGAACCATGGCAGTGATAGAATGACGTCATCTGTTTGTGTGTCTCAACCTGCAGCAGCAGCAGCGGGTCAGATCAAACCTGCCACCCTAACAGCAAGGCTTTGAAAATGCCATCCCTGCCAGGAGTGGTAGCACACACCTCAAATCCCAGTTCTTGGGAGGCAGAGACAGATGGATTTTTGTGAGTTTAAGGCCAGCCTAGTCAGACATACAGAGTTCCAGGACAGCTAGGGCTATGTAGACACCCTGTCTCAAAAAAAAAACAAAAAAAAAAAAAACAAAAAAAAAAAAACAAAAAAACCCACAAACAAACAAAAAGAACCAAATGAAAGAAACTGGTGTCCTTGAGTAACGGCAGGAAGACCTGTCATTTGAGCAGGACACAAAGCTCAAGGCCAGCTGATGTTTAGAAGAGAAATTGTCCTCCCAACACTTCAGAGGTTGAATGTAAGAGTCCTTGAGTTCAGAGTCTTTCTCAAACCACAGTTTAGCACAAAACCTTCCTTTAAAAAGCTTTAGATTAAAATTGGACCTTTGAGGAAGAGGAGAAAATAGTGAGAGTGGATGCCATCCATGTGATCCCTGCACCCCATGCTCCCATGCTAAAAGGATATCAATGCAGAAATCAAGCCAGTCAGAGTGCCAAGTGCTGCAGAGCCAAAGAACATTTTGAGGAAGTAGCCGAGGGCCTGTGAGAACGTTTGCCACCCACTGACATCCGACATATGTTTTCTTGTTAGACCTTCAGCCGTGCTAGGAAAGAAGAAAAGAGAGAGAGTTAGAATGCTGTAGACGGAGTCCTCAGCCGCAGCTGAGCACAACTGATCCTTCCGGATCCCCCTTCTTTCCCGCATTCTGTCCATCACTCCATGTTCTATGGTCACCTACTTGTCCAGGTGGTTTCTGGGGCTCAGAGGTGAGGGCAAAGGCGATGTCCTCAGGAGCTGCCCTGGGAATGAGGGGGAAGGGTCAAAGGCTGTGAAAACAGGGTGGACATCGAACTCAGACTGGGGAGAGGGTGATTGAGGAAGGTTCCTGATGTAATGTAGACTGGGTTTCCATTTAAGAGAAGGATTCTCAGGCAGAGGAAACTGCCCAGGGGTGGACATGGGAGAGCAGCAGCCAGTGCAGGGCCCATGGACGGTGGGAGGGCCAGCGGTTCACCCTGAAGGCCTCACCTCTCAACCATTCTGAGTATAGGAATCCTACCATAAAGCCCAGACAGGGCTTCAGGCTGAGAGGAGGCCTCAGGGAGCCCAGAGATGAGCTGGAAGGTCCTCCCTTTCATTGTGCCAAAGCAGCTGTGGGAAGCCAGTCAAAGTGGCTTTGTTCCCAAAGGGAAGAGCACCATTCATAGAGAGCTGCTCTTGATAGCATCACAGAGGGTCCTCCACTCTCCGTCCTGGGTCTATCTGTTAACAGTCCACACCTCCACCCTTCTCTGAGCTATATCTGTCTTCAAGACAGGTCTGCATCAGCAGCTGAAGTGATCCCCTTAACATGCACTTGCCAAGGAACAGCTGCTCCAAAGCTTCAGCATAGCCAATCCCTGACAGCTCTGTTCAGTTCTTTCTCCTCTGTGGTGTCCTACATGGGCACTGGCCTTTTTCTGCAGGGCATTCTTCACTGTCCCTGGCTCTGCTAATTTACCTGTCCTTTGAGACAGTCCCCTCCTTCCCTAAAACACCTTTCCTGAGCAGACCAACCCATTTCCAGGTCCCTCTGAGCCATCTCTTCCTTCAGAGCATGTGGCAACTACAGTGAGACTCTCTCTATCCTGTTCTGTGTCCCAGGCAAAGCACAGCGCAGCCTGTCAGAGGTACTCATGTGTGTCTGTGGAATCAGGCAACAAACTAAGAGCCATTCAGCTTCACTAACTGGTATTCTATCTGACAGGAGACCGACCTCAGATGAAGAGATAACCAGATCTCTGGTGACAGATGCACAGGCTGGAGGAACGTGAAACAGTTCTGAGAGGTCTCACAAATAGTCTGCCCTCAGAGGGCAGCAAGATGGCCCAGAAGACAGAGGTGCCTGCGGCAAAACCTGAGCATCAACTGCTGAAGGATGTGCTCTGAGTTCCAATTTTGGACTGTGTGCATATAGGTACACACATACATACAAAATAAATAAAAATATTAACTGAAAAGAACTCCTCACCTAAGTTTCCTGGGCTCCTGTGTCATCTCCTCCACTCCTCCTTTCCTGGCAGATCAACTAAGTAATGTGGGAGCAACAAGGGCTCTCACTGGAAGCTGATTTGGTTGAACAAATCCACAGTGGACCACACACATAACTGTAAGAATGCAGTGGGAGAGCCCAGCTGCTGCTCAGGACTTACGTGTAGCAGCCCCCCCCCCCCCCCCACAGGCACCCTGTTGAGACACTGGGAGTCCCTGGATAACAGACTTCCCCAAACCAGGGCCTATTGGTGGCCATACATGCTGCTTCCACTCCCTCCCCTGCCTCCTACCTGGAAATCAGAGCGCCTCCATCCAGGCTTATATTGTGAAACTTTTCTATCCTTAGAACAGTATAAAAATTAAACTCCTACTTCTGCCTCATGGGTTGACTCCTCCAGACCCTGCATGGTATCTCTGATGCTAGAGCCTGAAAGGTTCTTGGAGTCCCCACCATGGCCTCTGGTATCCACGGTGTTAGCAACTTTCCCAATAAACTACTTATCACTCTAGTGATCCATCTCAGTGTCCCTCATGAACACACTCCATCTCAAATCTCCCTGTGCAGCTCAGCATTCTATATTTCTGGTTGGAACACACTAATCTGCTGCCTGCTTACTGAGCAGGGAGCAGAGTTCCACAGAATAACTGGCTGTCATAGCCAAGGACCAGTAGGTGGCTTGGGATCATGATATGGGATTCCCCTCTGTATGCTATGAATATGTTTTATTACCATTGGTTAATAAAGAAGCTGTTTTGGGCCTATTAAAGTGCAGAATAGAACAAGGCCGGAATTCCAACCAGAGATTGAGGAAAAAAGAAAGTGGGGTTGGAGAGATGCCATGTAGCAACTGAAGCAGACTGATCTCAGGAACTTTACCGGTCCTCGAAGTAAAATATAAAATATTTTTATATTTTATAAAATATATGAAAATGGGTTAATCATTTATGAAAATGGGTTAATTTAAGATATAAGAGCTAGCTAGCGATATGATTAAGCGATTAGCCAAGCAGTGTTGTAGTTAATATAGTTTCTGTGTGATTATTTCAGGTGTGGGCAGCCGGGAAACAAACAAGCATTCTTCTGCCTACAGGAGCACCAAAGAAATTAAGAGACTGACACCCTCAGGGTATAAGATGGGGTTTCCTCCCCAGCAACTGACAAAAGGAAAAACTGTGATAACAGCAAATTAAAGCTAGAAAGGAGCTACTAGGAGGTTGAGGTAGAAAGATCAGGAGTTCAAGACCAGCTTATGTCAGGAGACTGTGTCTCAAAAACAAAAACAAACAACAACAACAACAAAAAACCCTGCCAAACCACCAAGTAAATAAATAAAGCTAAAATCAACCCAGGAGTTAAAGAAGAACCAGAAGGGCTTTGCTTTCTGGCAACATGGAAGGAGGCCCTGCGTTTGCATATGTAGGCGAGAGGCCTGAGCACACTAGAAAGAACTGTTGTTGACAGGCATCCCCTCAGAACCGGGAGGGACAGCAGCTGGGTTTTGGAAGTTCAGAGGCCAATGAAAAGGGGACAAGCCTTCTATCTCCATTCTTCCTGCTTCTGTCTGAAAATGCTCACTGGCCTGGAGCATAAGACACCCTTTCTGGAATCCTCCATGGCATTCCTGCCACTGCCCCTCTCTTGCGTACCACTTCTCCTTGGCCCACCACGGACCAAGTAAGTCACATCCAACTGAAATCTAAACCACATACGCAGAAGGTGGACAACCTTTAGAGCATTTGCTGTCCAGAGAATCTGACTGTAATGGAGGTGGCCCTGACAATGAAAAAGGAAGTTGCCCATTCTAGATATACATAATCCAGAGTCACCTGCAGGAATTAATGCGGGTGGCCGTTGAAGTCACTCTTCCAGTAAGATGTATAATGATGACAACCTTTCCCATTTGTTTTAAAAATATCTCTTCAACTTGGCAGTTGTGCAACAGAGGCCTGAGAAAACTGATATTTTCCTACTGACAAACTTGTTTTCAAAGAAATTCAGAGGCAAAGCAATTGAGTTCTGCTCCTAACCATAAAAATAGCTTATGCCATCACCTACAAGCAGGTAATTCCTTACCATATCATTTAGTGTGTGCACCAGGAGATGGGATGTGGGCAAAGAGAAGAAGCTTTTAGAAAAAAATCTATTTTGGACACAAGGCCCCATGTAGCCCAGGCTAGCCTCAAACTTCTTATGTAGTAGAGGATAACCTTTAACTTTTGGTCCTCCGGCATCTATTTCCCAAATTCTGGGATTATAGCTATGTGCTGCCATGCACGCTGTATGTGCTGCTCTGGACGGAACCCAGGGCTTTGTACATGTTGGGTAAACACTGTACCAACTAAGTTAAACTTTTAGAAAATATCTTACAGAAGAAAAGCTCTAAAGGCCGTATGTATGATGCTCACCACTTCCTACCTAAATCTACAGGCATTTCTATCAAGAGGGCAGTGAGAGGGCAGTGGGTGACATGACAGCAGAGTGACACCCAGAAAATGATGATACCTTAGACAGTTTTGTTTTATTCTATTTTAGTTTGAGACAGGATTTCTCTGTATAGCCCTGGCTGTCCTGGAACTCACTCAGTAGATCAGGCTGGCCTCGAATTCAGAGATCTGTCTGCCCCTGCCTCCAGAGTGCTGAGACTAGAGGTGTGAGTCACTAAGCCCAGTGACTTTGAACTCTTGACCCTCTTACCTCCACTTTAAGGATAATAACTGCAAGCCAACATTTTCTACCGTTTTATGAAGAATATGTATTAGCCTTAGAATAACAGACATTCTGAAGTCTGGCTCTGTAAAGTCGGAGGAGGACTTCTTGCACTTGTGCACTGCTTGGCAAGCCCTGCCTGCAGCAGTTGGTGAAGAGATGACCTCATAAGAACAGTGCAGGGCTAGAGGAGGTAGGCTGCATTTACTCACCTGGTCAGTCCTTCAGTTCAATGTGAGGCCAAGGCCATATTACCATCACACTATAATGAGGGACATATCTGTTCAGGAGCTCAGAGAGGCAGAGAGTCACATGGCTGGGTGGGGTCAACAGGAAAACCTGTGCTTTGCCTTGCAACATGTGTGTAATCTCAGAGTCCATCAAAGGCAGCAACCCCAGGGAATATGGACTTTCATTTTTCAACCTCATGTGGTGGAGCAGGACCCTTACCCTGGCACATGGGAGGTGGAGGCAGGACGAACAGCAGGTCACAGTCATCCTTGGCTACATAGTCAATCTGAGGCTAGCCTGGGCTACATGAGACTTTATCTCACAGCCGGAGGAAGCTGGACAGATGGCTCAGCAGAGGACTCTGGTTTGATTCTCAGCACCCACACTGCAGTTCACAATCATTTGGAATTCCACTTCTGCCCTCTGTAAGCAGTTAGTCTCTATGGAGCTGGACATGGCACCATGGCCTCTTATAGGGTTGAGCAAGCCCGCAACATTGGCCCACACTGCACTCACTACTCCAGCAATGCTGCCTGAACACTAATCCCTCACTTGGCTGCCACCGATCATCAAGAAAGCATACCACAGACCCACTGCATAAGAGGCTGAGGTACAACCTGGGAGGTCACCTCTGAGAAGCCCTTCGAGGATGCTGAGAAACACAGACACAATTCCCTACAGCAGCCTGGCTGAGACATAGTCTATGCAGAGGTAGTAGAGAGCTGATCACATGGGACTAACCTCTGTACTGGCATCAGAGTGGTGCTGGGACCTTCCACTCTCTCCTACTTACTTGGTTAGGACAATAGAGACTGCATCGTTGAGAATGCTTTCTCCAAACACCAGCATGTTGAGTACAGGGTCCACGTGCAGTGCATTGAAAATTGCGATAGTGGCTACTGGGTCAACCGCAGATATCAGGGAGCCGAACGCAAAACTGCAAGGAGAAAAGCAAGGCAGATTCTGTAAAGCATGGTGCTGGGTGCACACAGATGTGCTCTGGATGTGATGCTGAGATGGCAGCTGAAGGGCCAGGCGAGAGGGTGGGCTTTCCCACCGACCCCTGCCCAGCACAGGAGCGGAAAGGCTTAGACACAGTGCTGAGAGTGCCTGCATCACAGCAGAAGGGCTGTATTCTGTTCTGGCCAACGCTGCCCAGAAGACTGCTTACCCTAGTACACGCTGCTCAGCTTTCTCAGCTAGAAAATCCTATAAACAGGCTTTGACCTCTGTTCTACTACCAGATCAGTTGTGCCAATTGTGCCCAAGACCAGCCTCCACTTAGATTTGCAACATCCAAGAAGGTGCCAAAAGCGAGCAGCCACCAGAAGATGCAGCCCAGGCTGTTGACTGGAAGTTGGGCCCTCAGGTTTCACAGGCAGTGCCTGATCATAAGGTCCAATGCCCGAATACTGGTCATCCGCCTACCAGGTTTTCAGCCTCTAGGGCTCACCAGTGAACATCTCCTTAGCATGTGGGATCTGGCCCCAAGCCCTTCTGTCTAGCTCAGAGCCACTGCCTCTGGCCTTGAGGGAGGGTGTAGCAATAAGCAATGCCCAGGTCAACTTAGGAAGCACAATGTGGACAGGGTTACAGTGCTTGCTAAGCATGCTGGAGGCCCTCGGTTTGATCCCAAGCATCACAAAACAGCTGAGGGGTACACACTTGTAACCCTAGCACTTGGGAGATATCACCCACAGTAACATCAAGGAAGATGAACATCTCAACTGTGTCAAAGGAGGCCACAGCGGGCTGTGCTCTGCAGGGGTCTTATATGGAGTGCATTGGACACAGTCTCTGGTCTCACTGCCCAACACCCACAGCCTCTGGGTGCTGTCTTCCCAATTTCTAGGGAGTGGATATAGTGCACAAGGTTGGACCAGTTTTGCCAGGTCACTAGGAGCGGACTGACCCTAAGTGAGGAGTGCCTGGAGCTGCCTGTGCTCCATGTGAGGTGGACACCAGTGAGGGGAGAGCTGGTCTGAGACCTCTGAGAGTGTCCTGGAGGGTGCTGAGCTAGGGCCATCATGCTTGAGGCACTTCAGCCCTATGAGCCAACAACCCTTTTTGATATGAACTTCATTCCTGCTGGGTTACAGGTACACAGAGAGATGCCTGGCCAAGGTACTTTGTTACTGTTACTGCAGCCTCTTAACCAGAACTCTGGGATCAAGGCCCACAGGCATGCCTGGGGAGGGATGGACAGAGGGAGCACTGACACAGATGCTGGAGATGCAAGTCGGGAGGAGCTGCAGGTGCAGGTGCTCACTACACAGGGTCTCGACGTTTGAGTCATATTCCTCAGAATACAAAACTGGGTCCATGCCTGGTGGAAAAGCCAGCACAGGACAGTGGTGCCCGCAGGAAACTCAGTTGGCAAGGGTTGACCATGAGCCCCAAGGCCTCAAAAGGCCTGAGTCTGGCCAGCTTGGTTCTAAATCCACTGTCAGGACCCAGTCCTCGAAAGGCTTCAAGCAACTGGCTCAAGCTAAAAACATGTTCTTTTATTCTCTCCTTCAGAGTTAGTGACACCAACAAAACATGGAAAGATGGACAGGGTGGGACTTGGGGAGGAGCAGGGACAAGCTGGAGAGTTGTTGCCATCTACTAAGGGCAAACTCTTGCCAGCAGAGATACCTGTGGCTAGGCCCATGCCACCAGCCATGGCTGTATTCTCGGAAGAGCAGAGGCGAGACAGGCAGCCTGTGGGTCTGTGGGAAAATTGGTGTTGTCAATACTCAAAAACTGGAGCAACGAGCCGGCGTGGCACAACATTAATGCCAGACAGAAGCAGCGAATCTCCTCCTTAGTTCCAGTTCAAGGCCAGCCTAAAGTATAAAGTGACTTCTAGGTTAGCCAGGGCTACATAGTGGTATCCTGTCTCAAAAAGCAAACAGTAGAACTGAAGCAAGGTATGGTGGTGTCCATTTATAATCCCACCACTTGATCAGAAATTCAAGGTCATCCTTAGCTACACAGTAGGTTTGAGGTCAGTTTGGGCTATATGATGTACTACATGACAACAACAAAAACAAAATTGGAAAAGTCCCAGGAAACACCTATAACTTGGCTTTCTAAAATCCATATTCTGTGTATGTGTGTCTGTGTGTGAGGGGAAAGGAGGAAGAGGGGGAAGGAGAGAGAGAGAAAGGAAAGAAGGAAGAAGAGATCGAGAGGGAGAGAGACAGAAACTGACTTCCTTTTGGCTGAGAAGTATAGATATTTACTTATTTATTTATTTATATATATTATTTTTTCCTCAAGACAGGGTTTCTCTGTATAACAAATTCGCAGAACTCTGCACTGCCTCTGGAGTGCTGGGATTAAAGGCATGGGTCACTATGTCCGGCCTGAAGGTTTCTGTAAAGCAGAGCAGCAGCACATACATGTAGCATCTGCCTAGCACATGAAGTCCTGGGCTCCACCCCCAGCACAAGAAAAACTTTGTTTTAAAAAAAACATCTATTTATTTATTATGTATATAGTGTTCTGGCATGTATGCCTGCGGGCCAGAAGAGGGCACCAGATCTCATTAGAGATGGCTGTGAGTCACCATGTGGTTGCTGGGAATTGAACTTAGGACCTCTGGAAGAGCAGTCAGTGCTCTTAACCTCTGGGCCGTCTCTCCAGCCCCGAGAAAAACTTTTTAAACATTTAGTACCTGCAGGCCATGTGTTCACATGGCAATCAGGAGGAGCTGAGGAGTGCTATCCCTTGCAGATAGCAGAGCTCACCTGTGGCCACCATCAGACCTCCATTACCCTGGTCACTTCCCTCTGTTAAGGCTCTGCTGTCCTATACAGCAGTCTCCATCCAATGCACAGAGCCTCCAACAGAAAGGGGCACATCTGCACAGGGGAAGGCTGGCTGGAGGTCTACCCACTCAGTCAAAGGTATTGCTTTTGTCTCTCCACACAAATGACCAACTCTTGGCTTTAACTTCATTCTAGACAATGATCAACACTGCTTTTTCACAAATATCCCCAAAAGTAGGCAGAGCCCACACCTTTCTTAATGTCAAGAGTGCTCCGGGCATTTCCTTTCCTTTCCAGCACACCTAGAAAACACCAGGTTCTGGTTCTGTTGTACTTCAGGCTCCTGTAGGAAGGAAGGTGACTCCGGCTGCTTGTCTATGCATCAATCTTTCTGGGCTGCTCACACATCTGTAATCCTGACACTTGGAAGGCTAAGGCATAAGGACTGTCTCAAGTTTGGGGGCCAGCCTGGGCTACATATTGAGTTCCAGAGCAACCTGGGCTACAGAATAAGATCTTGTCATAAACAAACAAGGAACACTTTTTCTTTTTTTAAACAACAAAAGCTCCAATTCTCCTGCCTGGGGAGGGTGAAGGATGGGCACTGAGGACCAAGCTTGTTATCAGTGACCCATTTTCATGAACAGGTTCTGAGGCTCTGGTCCAAGGTGCTACACTGTAGCTAAAGTCTGACAGTCTTAGTTCACAGGAATGATCTAGAACTAACTACTTGGCTTTCTTCCTCAGCTCCCCACTCGGCCACTGATAGGTGCTGAGAGTAGACACAGGGACACAGAGCAAGGCACAATCCAGACTTCTCAACTGCACTGGGCTAGGATCTTTTTGGAACTCTAGACCTGGTGCCTTCTGGGATGCAGCTAAGATTTTAAGAGCCTCCTGAGCAGAAGGTCACTGCAGTGTCTTCTGGGGTGGCTTCAGATTGAGAAGATGTCCATCCCAAGGCCGGTTCCTGCCTGCTTCCCCTAGTCCTGGTGAAAATTCCAGAGTCACTCTCTCCCATTTCATACTTATTGGGAAGGCAACCTCCTTTCACAATGGCTATAAAGAAAACTGAGGTTTTTGTTTGTTTGCTTACGAGACCCCAGAGACTAGACCCAGGACCTCGTAGTGGCAGGCCAGGGCTCTGCCACTGAGCTATACATATATTCCCAGCTCTGAAGACAATTCCTAATGGAAGGACAGAGTATATGATGTGACTGGGATATGGGTGGGTAGTTAACTGGCCAGTCATTCCCTCCAAAGCATAAATGAGATCAATCATTTCAATCAACAATGTTGTGACCAAGGGTCTTCAAAAGCCTCAATATAATTTTGATTCATTTCAGAGATAATTAATTCAGAATAGATTCTATACTGAAAACATTGGCAAGTCAGGCAGAGGGAAGAGAGGAAAGGACCACACCCAGGAAGCCACGTGCAAAAAATGTCCCAGGCCTGAACAGCAGTCACATGAGAAAATTACAGTGTGAAAGATTTACCTGTCTGTCATGTTGAGTTTAAAGATTACATCAGCCTGTAAAATAAAACACACAAACACACAGACACACACAAAAAAATTCCCTGGAGAACAGCCAAAAAAATGTCCATCAGTGCTTTCTTATCAACTAATAAGGACATTATCTTCAGTCCCCACTGAAAGGAAACCCCAAAGGGCTGCTGTGAGCATGCATGGGCACCTAGACCCAAGGACGGGCACAATTCTCCTTCTTCCAGTCTGGCAGCTGTGATCCTCTGCTCGAAAGGGGGCTCCCCTTGACCCCGAGAAGGTGAGCATCTAGGAAAGCTGCAGGGCACACTTGATCTTGGCTGTTGAGTTAGCCATGAAAGTAACACAGTCAGTAGGAAAAGGCTGTGGCTACCAAGAGAAACAGCAGCCACATTGGACAGCAATCCGCTGTACCCTCAGCTTGGTTTGTTCTCAGCACAGGGTGGCTCAGCTTTCTGCACACGACACAAGAACAGGTGCTGTACAGCACAGCATAGCACGCACTGTGAAGGTCTGAGTGTCACCTTCCGAGGCTTTTGTTCTAGCTGAAGTAAACTAATGTTTACAGCCTGGGCTGTTGCCTCACTGAAGGGCTCACAATGGCAAGGAGCACCAAGGGAACTGAGAGAACAGATTCATAGCCAGCTCTGTTTAAACGCAAATCTTCACCCAAGAACAGCTTTTGGCCCTACTGCAGTTGCCCTGGGAAAACAACTGCCACTTGTATCATTTCAGGTGCAGCACTGCACACTACTCTGCTTCATGGCATTCCAATGAAGAGACGGGTTTGCAAGTAGAATCAAGTATCTGGGGGTGATTACAGTCCCCTCAATTCCAGATGCCCTAGACACATGCATGAGCAGGGACTTCCTCCAAGGAGGGCACACACTACCAGACAGCTCCTGCCCCACCCTGCACTACCCTCCAATAGAAGATCTTCAAGGTCATCGGGGTGTTTTGCTTACCTGACCCAGAAAGTAAATTCCTCCACCTACTACAAAAGCAGAGATAGCCGTTCCAAAGACAGCAAAGAGGGTGATGGAGCCGATGTTCTGAAAGAAGTTCCCCTGGGAAGGAGGAACAGAGGGACAAGAGGCCAACTGGTGAGTCAGGGAAGCCAAAATAGCTTTTTCCCAACTGTGCCTTCTCCAAGGCTGAACTCTCCTACAAAGGTCAGGGCACCCCTGCCTGCCCTGCTGGCTGGAATCCCTGCCACTGTCTCCCAGCTTCCCTGTCTCACAGGTCCCTTACCCTAAAACAAGGAAAGAGCTAACCAGTCTCACCTGTTCCCAGTCCCTTTCCCTCTACTGTGTACCACTTCCAGAGTAATCTGCAAAAGCTCAGTCTGATGGTGCTGCCTCTGCCTTGATTCCCACTTGCACTTGAGATGCTAGTGAGCCCCAACCCTAGCTGAACCTGGGAAGGCTTGTGTCTTCATGAATCAGCATGTCACCTTGTCGCCTGGGCCCTAGTCACAGGGTGTGCCCTGATCCTGCTTTGTGTGCTTCATACTAAACCTCCTGCAGAGAGGTCCTGTGTGTCGTGTTGTGTCCCGTTCCTGCCCCCCCCCCCCGCTGGCTCTCATAAGGGATCTGGTTGTGTTCTTTCAAGGCAGCTGCACTGCAGCACTCACTTATGTAAAGCTGACTGACAATGACATCAGTCACATCAGTCATATGGACGATGCTCAATTCACAGGTGTGGAAAGAATCAACCATGGTCCATGTTTGGTCTCAATCTAAATCCACACTATCACAGTTTTCTTTTATTCAATTAAAAGGTGCATTCTGAAGTCACCTAAACTCAAAGATCAGAACAATAATCAGTGTTAGGTACCAAAGAAACCTGGGACAAAGGCTGAGTGCCTATTACCACATCAAAGTGGAAGCTGGCTGCCAGGCTCTTCAGCATCACAAACACCTGTTACAGAGTCCAGGCTCCTCCCAGCATTTCTCACCCTGTCCCCTACCCTAAACCTCTCCAGTCCCTGAGCTCCCCTTCCCTTCCCCCACTTCTCTTTCTTCTGCCATTTGGCCATAGGCTCTGGGCTCTGCTCTTGGATCTCTCTTGATCAGCTTGCCTCTCTCTCGCGCTCCCTTTTTCTCTTCCCTCGTGACCCTGTCTATTCTGCTAGCCAGGGTCGGTCTGGACCTTTCTTGATGCCTCTGGTTGTCCTCTCCCTCATATTTAAAGACCTTCTCCTTAACCACACCCAGGAGGGGCCATGCCCTCACTTTCACTTGGTCAGAAAGACCTTTATGCTGTATTAGCAGCATGAAATAGGCAGAAAGCTCGGCAGGGCAGGGCTAAACTGGTAAAGTGCTTGCCTCGCATGCAGCATGCATGATGCCTTGGGTTACCCCAGCACCGCGCACACAACAGGTGCTGAGGTAGGCCTGTAATCCTAGCACCTGGGAGGTGTAAGCAGGAGGATCAGAGTTCAAGATCATTCTCAGCTACGTGGAAAGTGCCAGGCCTGCCTGGGCTATGTGAGACCCTAACTCTAAAGAACCCAAACCATAAAAGAGAAAATATTTCAGTTATGGCAGCATGGAAGTTCCCACATTCCCACATGAGAAGGAAATGAAGTTACTAGACCCTCACAGACTCCACTTAGGAGGCATCAAGGGTTTCAGTGACCAAGATTTCTGCTCCTTGTTACTAGGGTCAGGTTTACTTCAAGAGTATCCTCTGAGGTGGGGGTGGGGGTAGAAATGGTTTAAAAGTTACGAGGATGTACTGTGGCTAGGTGTGGTGGTACACACTTTTAATCCTACCACTCAGGCAACAGAGACAAAGTGGCCAGGGCCCAGGCTAACCAGGGCCACACAATGAGATCTCATCTATAAATAAATAAATAAATAAATAAATAAATAGCCTTCTGCTAGCGCAGCCTGCTGCACCCTGTCATGGCCACCAACTCTTTCAAACTGCTGCCCCAGAAGCTCGAACTGTGTGAAGGATCAGCATATCAGCAACAAGGGGTCACTGCTGTTAAAGGTACCGAACTCGAAGGAGCACCCCACCCCCACCTAAGCTCCAGGTGAACCTTACCTTGTGCAGTGAATATCCCGACTCAAAGATGATGGGCGGGAGCAAGAGAAGAAAAAACATGTTGGGGCGAAACATTTCTTCCTCCTATGAAGTCAAAAAGGAACGACACTCAGGAGTGGGAGTGCACAACCGTGAGACCTAGCTATCAGTCAGTGGAGAGCTCAGGGCAGAAATGCACATCACTGAAGCAGCCACCTGGTGACAAACCATGCAGGGACAATAAATCACTGATTGCCTCTGACACACAGCACAGGGCCGGCAAACAGCCCTGAGCTTTATTTTCAGAACCCACAGTGAAAGAGAGCCAACTGCTCCAAGACCTGTGGATGCTTTGGAGGGCGAGCATCCAGAGCTTCCGGGAGAGGAGGAGCTATCTACAGTAGAGTTGCACTGTTCCTCTCCCCGATCCAGTCCACCAGGAAGTTCAGACTGTGACCTAACTTGGAAATAGGGTCTTCCAAGGTCAGGGTAAGAACAGAAGTGAGGAAAAGACACAGACCCAGAGACAAGGTATTTGCTGTTTCATGTTTCCTTGGTGCTAGGGATTGAAGTCAGGGCCTTATGCTGACTGAACTAAGGGAGCCTCCTGCAAGTCAGAAGAGGACAGACCAGAGAAGACCCCATGGGAAGGTTCCATGCACCTTTCGGCCATGTCCCAAGACTGACCATCAAAAATAAAACAAAAGACAAGAAAACTAAATTTCATTTTCTTTTCTTTTTTTTTTTTTTGTTGTTGTTTAAAGATTTGTCCTGGGGATAGAGGGACAGCTCAGCGCTTAAGAGCACTGGTTGCTCTTGAGGACTCAGGTTTGATTCCCGTATGCAGACTGACATGCAGACTAACAACCATCTATTATCCAGTTCCAGAGGATCTGATGCTCTCTTCTGGCTTCTGTGGGGACCAGGTATACATGTATGTAATACACAGACATACATGCAGACAAAACATATATAAATCTCAAAAATGTAGGTGCATGTGTGTGTGCATAGACCAGAAGAAAGGGTCAGGTCCCCAGAGAGTAAATGGATATTTGTGAACTGCCTGCCCAGCATGGGCACTGGGACCCAGTCCTCAGAATAGAGCAAGTATTCTTAACCACAGTCATCTCTCAACCCACACCCCCACTTGGGTCTTTTCAAACCCTAAGTATTCACAAGCACCTTAATCTGTAGCCCAGGCTACAGTACCAGGTTCTGCCCCTGGAGTACCCCTGACTTCATCTGCATCTAATTTACTTAGAGAAACAAATACAGGCTATAGGGGTACAGCTCAGTGGTAAAGTCCATGCTTAGCATGCTCAAGGCCCTGAGTTCCACCCTCAGCACCACATTAAACGAACGACCGCCCAGCAGGGTCCATGGCATTCACCTGTAGTCCCAGTTACTGGGGAGGCTGAGACAGGAGGATTGACAATTCCTGGATATAGAGAGACTCCGTTTTGAAAAAAACCAACCAAGCCAAGTCTGGTGGCAACTCCTTTAACTTTAATCTTAGCACTCAGGAGACAGAAGAGGAATCTATCCCCGGCAATTAAACATAAAGATAAGATGCATACTTGGAATCCCAGCACCAGAGATGCAGAGACATGATGGTTTCTAGTTTCATGGCCTTCCGGCCTGGCCTACATAATGAGTTCTAGGCCAGGAGAGACCTTTCTCAAAAAAATAAGGTAGATAGCATCAGAGGAACATGTGACACCCAAAACTAGTGGGCTCTAGTCTCCATACATGTGCTCATGCATCTACACACACACAATGACAAGCAGAAGCTGTGATTATGTCAAACCTACCTTCCAATTTGCCAGCTTTTTAAACTCTATAATTTTTATAACTGCTCCCATGAGAATACCTAGAAGGGAGAAAAGAAAGTTGAGTTGAAACACAGCCTAAGGTTACCTGGCTGGACTGGGCAGTGCCCTAGACTGGGTGGTACCCACTAGGGCAGGCTGTCCTAGAGCTCTGCAGGTCCGGGTCTGAGAATAAGAACAGGAATTGCCAGGAAGTGGGGTAAATCATCGAGTTTCCCAATTATATCTCAGGCAAACACACCACGGCAAAATTTAAGATAAGTGGGGAGAAGAAAACTCTTGTCACTGCTATGCCAGGTGTGAAGGGCTCACGGCCGGTCACCCTCTCTGGACCACCCAGTTTCAATGGAAAACAGCAGAAGGTTATAGGCCAGGCACCTCCTACACTGCTTATTCTTAGTCCTATCATTCACAAATGGGGGTGGGTGGGGTTCTCAGTTGGTAAAGCCATTTACCACTAAGCCTGATGACATGAGTTCTAACCCAGGACTCACAGGCTACAAAGAGACCGACTCCCAGAAGTTGTCTTCTGACCTCTACATGGCACAACAGCAAGGGCACACAGACAACTGTTGGGTGTGTTTCAGTGAAGGCAGGTAGAGGTGAGCACAAGCTGGTTTGGAAACTGGCCTCAAACTGTATAACTAGGAGAGCCTTCAACTCCTGATCCTTCTACCTCTGATTTTTTTCCTTTATTTTTCTGCAATGTTATTCAACTTTGTGCCCTCTTATTTTTTAAAAAACACACTGGCAACAGTGATGCACACCTTTAATCCCACCTCAGGAGGCAGAAGCAGATGTATCTCTGTGAATTTGAGGTCAGCCTGGCGTACATAGAGAGTTCCAGGACAAGCTGGGCTACATAGTGAGATTCTGTCTGGAAAAAACAAACAAACAAACAAAGCAAGCAAAATTATCAAGTCCATACATGTTGCCCATATATTCTCTTGGATATGTGGCCTTCTACCAGGGGCCATTCCCCTTTAAAAAGCCTGCATTTCCCTCTCTCTCCCAGCAGCTGTGAGCTGTCTGGAAGGAGCAGAGATCAGCTGAGCTGCCTGGAAATGCCAGCTGTACTTGCTAAGCTGCAGCCTATGCTGGGGTGGGCTTTAGGAATGCTGTTGTCTGAGTCAGCTCTGCTTTTGTGAGTAATGCCCCTAAACACAGAGAGCCAGACAGCTCTGAACCAGGACCAAGGAACCCTCTCAAGGACATACAATTGGAACTGTTTTCTGGAGCAAGTGAAAAGACAGCTAGGACTTTGCTCAAAGCACAGGAAAGTGGAAGGGGAAGTGCTTTTAAGTGTGGACGGAGGTCCTCTTAACCTCAACACAAAAGGCCAATATGTGCTAAGTGACTGAAGGCCACATATACCCAAGGGGACATGTCTGCTTCCTTTTAGCCTCCTGTGGAGTTGTTTTTGACACAACAGTCAGACAGTCTTGAAGGAGCCACCTCAACATATGTGATACTATGCTCCAGCTGGAGAAGTCCATTTCCCATCATTTAAAAATTAGTTAATATATTTTATGGAGGAGTGGCATCCATGCTAGAGTGGAGCTCAGAGAACAACCTGAAGAAGTCAGTTGTTTCCTTCTATCCCGTGTGCAAGCTGGGGATTACACTCAGGCTGAAGGCCTGGCAGCAAGCACTTTTACCCACCAAACAGTCTCATCAGCCCCAGGTTACAGTGGGCTGTCAGTTCAAGACAACAATAAACCAAGACTCCAGCCTTCCCATCTGTCCCCTTGGACAGACTCAGTATTCTGACTTTTGTCTTTGCGTCATGTAATTGCAAGATGACTACAGTGCTCCAGGCATCACATCCCAAAGGAAGGGGGGGCTAACTTCTCTCACTTCTACCAGGGAGGAGAACCAAACCCCACCACTCTGGAACACTTCCCTTTGGCCCAATTTCTTATCTCCTCAACCAATCAGAGCAAAGAAACATGTGATAGCATGATAGCCAAGACTAAAGCTATCTGAGCACCTCCTTCCTTCTTGAGCACCACAGCAAGATGCCTAATCAAAATGAGAATTCCACTGGGTGGTGGCACACACCTTTAATCCCAGCAGAGGAGGCAGAGGCTGGAAGATCTCTGAGTTTGGAGCCAGCCTGGTCTACAGAAGGAATGCCAAGACAATCAGGGCTACACAGAGAAACCCTACCTCAAAAAACCAAAGGTGGGTGGGAATACAGCTTAGTGGGAGAGCATCCACCTGTCTGTGGTGCCCTGGATTCAGTTCCCAGCAGCAAAAACCACGTACAAGATAAAGTTTTATTTCCAGGAAACAAGTGGCAAAGGGCTCTTGCCAGGCAGCCATGTCTGCAGAGTCTGAGGGCCAGTGCTGATGTCAGGGAGTCATAGCACCCACACTTAACAGTCTGTCTGTATACGTATGTGTGCATATGCCCACAAGTAGGTATTGGACCCACTGAAGTTACAGCCAGCTCTGAACCACATGATATGGGTGCTGAGAACTCAACTGTGTGCCCTGAAAAAGCAGCAAGTGTTCTTAACCACTGAGACATCTCTCTTGTCCCTATTTTTTTTAAAACATTTTTTAAACATTCTTTTTTTTAAAAAAAATTTTATGTGTGTTTTGTCTGCTGTATGTTTGTACCACAAGCATGTCTGTTGTCTAAGGGCATCAGGTTCCCTGGATGGTTATGAGCTACCATGTAGATGCTGGGAACTGAATCCAGGTCTTCAGTAAAAGCAGTCAATGTTCTTAACTGCTAAACTAATTTTTGCTCCCCCACCCCAGACAGAGTAACCCTATGTAGCCCTGACTGTCCTGGAATGTGACACATAGATAAGGCAGGTTTCGAACTAATATAGACCTGCCTGCCTCTGCTTCCTAAGTGTTAAGATTAAAGGTGTGCGCCCAGCTGAACATACATTTATTTTTTATTGGGCAAACAAGTGTTTTATCCTCACACATGTCTGTGCATCACCTGTGTGCAGTGCTCTAAGAGGCCAGAAGAGGATGGCAAATCTCCTAGAACTGGAGTAACAGGCAGTTCTGAGCTGCCATGTGAGTACTAGGAATTGAATCCGGATCCTCTGGAAAAGAAGCCTATGCTCTTAACTGCTGAGCCACCTTGCCAGTCCACCAATATTTATTCTTAATAACTGGTAAAACTATTCAGGAAAAGCCAGGCTGTGGTGGCACATGCCTTTAATCCCAGCACTCAGGAGGCACAGGCAAGTGAATCCCTGAGAGTTTGAGGCCAGCCTGGCTTCCAAAACTACAAAGAAACTCTGTTTCAAAAAACCCAAAAAGAAAAAACAAAACAAAAAAACACCCAGCTATTCAGGAAACTGTCCATTCCCTGAAGCAGCTTTTTAAGCCCTTTCTGAAACGCCCCAGAAAGGGAGGGAGGCTCTGGTCTACAGGAGCCATTTGCCAGCTGGAAGGCTGGGGTCCTTCTAGCTCTGTGACTCTGCAAGCCAAATGCCAGCCAACTTCTGTGGAGCAGGACACTGTCAGGTGAGATGCAGTAGGCCACAGAAAGATGGCTTCTCCATCACCTTTGGGGATCAGCACCCTTCTCAGATTCTTCCCCGCCCCCAACACACATTGTAAAATGGACTCTCAGGCCCTGTGGTGAACTGTGGAAAGGTGACCCCAAGAGAAAGAGCGTTATTGTGTACCGGTGCAGTGTTCTGGACTGCCAGTATCACTTACCTAGAGAAACGACAGCCACACTCTCAGGCAGGAAGTGCAGTCGGTACCGGATCAGCAGGTGCACCAGGATGATGCAGATGGCTGTGAGAGGCACAAGAACTGTGTAAAGCCCCATCAGGTAAGAGACAGCAAGCTCAGGGCTTGCTAAAGGTCAGCTAACAGACATTAGGCAAACGAACAGTGAACAGTGGTCAGATTTTTAGTGTCTTCTTCCTTTTTTAAAAAACAACAACAACAACAGACTACTTGCAGAGTCTTTGTCTTGTGAGACAAAGGCATTTTCTGATAAACCTGACAACCAGAGTTTGATTACCATGACCAACACGCAGGAGAGATTCTCTTCTTATGAGGACTGTCTCAGATTTTTCTCAGACCTCTGAGTGTACATTTGCTGCATATATACACACACATGCATAATCTTTATTTTGTGTATACATGTGAGGGCCTGTATGTATGTATGTGCGCCATGTGAACGCAATACCCAATGGAGGCCAGAAAAGGGCACTGGATGCACTAGAACTGAAGTTAGAGGCTACTGTGAGCCACTGTGTGGGTGCTGGGAATTTGAACTTGGGTCCTTTGCAAAAAATGCTCTTAACCATCTCCAGTCCCACAAATGGTTTGTGTGTGTGTGTGTGTGTCTTCCTTGATCAAACCTAATTTTTCTTAACTCAGAATGAATCCACAGCATCTCATTTCCTTTTACAGGGGGGCAGGTCACATCCTGCTTCTTAGATGTCTGGACAGGACTGCCAATTTCTGATGTTTTTGCCTCTACCTTCTTAGAGTTGAGAGTATAGGTGCCCAGTTTATGCTAGGGACTGAACCAGGGGCTTTGTGTGCTAGGCAAGATCTTAATCAACTAATCTACATTCCCTGACTAAATAATACAACAGGTCATATGGCAAGACCCAGCCTTAAAACACACACACACACATACACACACACACTGCGGGTGGTGGCCCACACCTTTAATCCCAGTTCTCCTGGCGGCAGAGGCAAGCGGATCTCTGAGTTCAAGACCAGCCTGTTCTACATAGTGAGTTCTAGGACAGTCAGGGTTGCACAGTGAAACACCTCATCTTAGGGGTCCAGGAGAAAAGCCAGAGAGATGGTTGGGGGGATCGGGGACACTTGTTCAACAACATGGATGAGAAACCAACTCCGAAAAGTCATCTTTTAACTTTCACATACGTATAAACACAAACACACTAATAAAAATAATAAAAACTTCTGGCCCCAAACTCCACTTTTGTGTATTTGTACCACTCTAAATGTCACTTCGTGGTTCAGATGCTAATGTGCATGGCTTTCCAGCCCTGAGGCCACACCCCAACTCGTTATCCACAGAACAGCACCAGCAGGGTCTTATGACATGACTAAGGCCAGCCTGGTTCTTACTTAGTAGTCCTCCGTGGTCTTGAACTCATAGCAATCTCCTGCTGCAGATTCTCAAGTATTGGGATTACAGAAAGTTGTTACCATGCTCAGCTCTAAAAATAATTATTTTCTTAAACTTATTTTTATTTTATGTGCACTTATTCGCCTGTATGTATATCTGTGTGAAGGTGTCAGATCACCTGAAATCAGAGTTATAGACAGTTAAAAGCTGCCATGTGGGTATTGGGAGTTGAACCCAAGTCCTCTGAAGGAGCAGTCAACGCTCTTAACCACTGAACCATCTCTCCAGCTCCTAGAAATATACTTTTTTTTTTCGGGGAGGGGGGGAGGAGTTCGAGACAGGGTTTCTCTGTATCTTTGGAGCCTGTCCTGGAATTAGCTCTGTAGACCAGGCTGGCCTTGAACTCACAGTGATCCGCCTATCTCTCCCAAGTGTTGGGATTAAAAGTATGTGCTACTACCACCTGGAGAAATAATTGTTAAAAGAAAATGTTCAAATGGGGTAAGGAAGTGGGTGAAGTGCTTGCCACACCAGCATGAGTTGAGTTCAGGCTGGGGAAGTGAAAACAGAAGGGTCCCTGGGACTCCTACCAGCCTGGCTGTGTCAGTGAGCTCCAGAGTCCCCAAGAGACCTTTCAGTGAGAGCAGTTGAGGAAGATACCTGTAATGGACCTCCATCTTCCACAGGCATGTGTGCATATACAGATATGCACATACTACACTTATACCCCAAACACATACATAAAATACACACACACACACACACACACACACACACAGAGAGAGAGAGAGAGAGAGAGAGAGAGATTGAGAGAGAGAGAGAGAGAGAAAGAGAGAGAGATGCTCTGACTGTGCGGAGCTGCTAACAGACCACCCTCAGACTTTGTACTGACAACTTTGGTTTCTTCAATCCCATCAAAAAGTACCAGATGGCCAAAGAAAACACTGTCAATTCAGAAGTCTGGTCCTCTTTTCCTTCTGCACTGTAAGCTATGAATTTGTGATGTTGTTTCACTGTAAATATTTAACCTAGTTAGTGAAGGAAAAAAAATAAAAAGGAAAGAAAAGGACATGACTCCTCCTAGGTCCAGTGGAGGAGAAAGTTTATTACAAATGAAAGGAAGAACATAGCTATCATTTTTAAAGAGGTGGGACCATGACTGGTGCCACGAGGGGTGGCGGTGGGTCACCCCAGAAAATTTGGGTATAGAGTTTATTTAGTGGGTTATGGAGGGGAAAGGGAAGGGGAAGGGAAGAAGGGGGAGGAGAGAGAGATGTAGAAGCTGCCTCTTCAGAAGAAGGGCAGACAGAGAGAAAAAGAGAGAGAGAGGGGAAGGGAGGAAGAGGAGGGGGACTGGAGAGGAGGTGGGAGATGGCTTGCCTTGGCAAAGGGTGGGGGGAGGTTGAGAGTAGGCAGAGTTTGTCTCTTAAAGGTACAGGGTACCCAGGTAACAGACCAGGCTAGCAGATTACAACAATAGCCACAGTCAGACACCAAGTTGGAGAGTCCAAAGTGATCATAAGTAGACTGAGCTAGCCCATGTGAGGAAAGGAGTGAAGGAGGGGGAGAGGGGAACCAGGTGTAGCTATATGTCACAAAAAGAGGTGGTAATCCAAACTCTGGATTATGAAGGGAAAAGCCTCTGGGCTAAGTGGGGGGAGGGTGTGCTATCCATACTCTTCAACAGGTAGGGCCACAGGAATGCTGGGAGAACCTGTCCGCCAGGTCTGCTTAGATATGTTATTTTTGTCCTGTTTGTCCTGGGTTTGAAACCTAGAATTAGAAGTGTCAAATTAACAATTAGAATAATTAGAAAATTCTGCACTCTCTTCCTGAGCCAAACCCAAATAAGCACAGGAACCATTAATACACTAGATGAGAATGGAGGTCTCTGCTGCTTATAATCTGTCTGTCTGTATGCAAACATGCAGGGGTGCACATGGAAACCAGACAGTGTGGTGGCTTGAAAGAAAATGGCCCCCAAACAGAATGACACTATTAGGAGGCAAAATCTTGTTGGAGGAAGTGTGTCACTGGTAGAGGTGGGCTTTTAGGTATCCTATGCTCAAGCTACATCCAATGTCACAGTTCACTTCCTGTTATCTGAAGATCAAGATGTGGTTCAGTTCCACTTACTCCCGAGACAGCATGACCAATGTGCTGGCTTCCAGAAGAGGGAACATCACATCGCAGCTAGCCATAGCCTGAACTGAGATTTCTCCTCAGGTGATGACCGTTTTGCAGAAGTAGATGGTAGGGATTGTTGTAGAATATTTGTATACACTGTAATGATGTGTCTCTGCCTTCTGATTGGTTTAATAAAGAGCCGAATGGCCAATAGTTAGGCAAGAAAAGGTTAGGCAGGACTTCTGGGAACAGAGAGAACTCTAGGAAGGAAAAAGGCAGACCCACAAGCCAGATGCAGAGAAAGCAGGGTAGTCAGTGCGGCAATGAGGTAACTGAGCCACATAGAAGGACACAGATTAATATAAATGGGTTAATTATAAAAACTGGTTAGGACCAAGCAGTGGTGGTACACGCCTTTAATCCCAGCACTCAGGAGGCAGAAGCAGGTGGATCTCTGTGAGTTGTCTTGTAGACAACCTAGTCTACAAGAGCGAGTTCCAGGACAGGCTCCAAAGCTACAGAGAAACCCTGTCTTGAAAAACAAAACAAAAAAACAAACAAAACCAACCAACCAACCAACCAATCAAACAAAAAAGAACTAGTTAGGAACTAAGCTAAGGTTGAACATTCATAATTAAGTCTCCTGTTGTTATTTGGGAGCTGGCTATGGTACAGATAAAGGAATAGCTACACTGTGGGCATGATAAACACCAATGACTGGGGGTTCTTCAGATCCAAAGAAAACTCCAATTCCTCAAACTCCAAAAGGCAGTCCAATAAGCTCAACTGGGACTACAGGAGCATTTCTGGTGGTTAGATAAAAACCAGCATTCCTCAGGAACTAAACTGATGCACATCTACCAAAGGAGTCACTTCCCTTACCTCTGGCAGAAGGGACATATGGCTACCTGTGGCACCTACTAGTATATCAGTTTACAGCCCCCATGCTCCCTCAGTATCACAAGTACCTGCTACACATTCCAACCCATGCTAGCACCCTAGCCCTTCTCACCTCTCATACCCAAAACCCTCTCCAGCTCACAGGCTTCCCTCTCCCCAGCTACTCATTCTCCTTATAACCCTTCCAGTCTCACTTTCCCTTTATGCTCTGTCCAGGTTTCTTTCTCTATGTTTTCTCTATTCCTATCCCCTGCTATGCTCCCTCTCTCACAGATAGCCCTGGCTATGTTTGTATTTCACTTTCCCTCTGCTCTGGACTCTTTCAGAAGCCTCTGGCTGTTCTTTTGCATCTACAATAAACCCCCTTCTTAACCATACTAAGGAGTGGTCACGACAGTTTATACAAGGACTTTGGCTGGGTAAACAGAAGGATTGTTATCTGGTAAACAAGCCTTTAAGCAGGTTTCTGTTTACCAGAAAAGCAGATCTCCCTAAACTGGGTTCCTGGCTGTCAGAAACTACCCTTAGTTCTCCAAGAAGCTCCCTTAATCTTCCCCCAAAGGTCAACTACCTCTAGCAGGGGCATCTAGTCCTAGTCAATCCCAACACCTGTATTAGCTCAGATCCTCACTGCTGACATATAACATCCGTT